ACAATACTTTATTATATGGTGTCTTCTGTTGATCAAATCCAGTACTTTATTTCCTAATTACATTCATAGTGAATTAGTAGATGATATTATTGTAACTCTTAGGAGCATGAGAAATAGAGGGTAAATCAAAGAAGACCTAGTTGTAACTATAGTAACCCAGGAGGCGGGTACAAAGGGCTTTCGTATGGAATGGTAAATATTCTCTTGGTGATTCATGGACCCACACTTGGGAAGCAGAGCTCTAGTGGGAACCTAAATATTTGATTTGCATGGTGTTTATATTATTTATTAGAAGACTTAGTGGAATCTATTGCTTAAAGTGGGGTACCTCTCCCAGAACAGGCTGGGAAAATGTCCAGGATGCCAGCCAGGGCACTGAGGAGAGTTTCCAAGGACTTAGGCCAGTGCTACTCCCTCCCTTCTTGGGAAAGAATGCAAAGTGCAGCTTCCATCCCTAGATCCAGGCCATATGCTCCATTAACCATTGTAGGCACCTTGCCCAGTGGTTATTTTAATAAACCTGGTTGTACTCCTAATTTTCCTTAGAGGCTCGCTGGGCAGGCCACCACTGGTAGAACCTTGAGTCTCCTCTCTGGTTGACCTGGGAGCTTCTAGATGAAAGTTCTGCCCATAGTATTAGTACTGGCTTAGGAAGCTTGGCTTTCTTGCCATTGTAATGGGTGTTGCAATTCTTGGTCTCTGTGGGTCAAGCCAACAACAGCAGAGTACAGTTGGGGAGATGACATTTCAGGAAAGAATAATTGATTTAATGTACTCCTTTTTTTCTTAAAGGTGAGGGTATGGCATGACAGAAAGAGAGGAATAATACATCATATTTGTCCTAAAATTCATCTTTACCTTTTCCCTCCTACTTGGAATTGAAACGAGAGCCTCTGCATTGTGCTATATCCCCAAGTCCATTTTTTTGTTTTAGAATTCTGAGACAGATTGATAGATCACTAAGTCTCTCTGGCTGGGCTTGAACTTGTAATCCTCCTGTCTCAGCTTCCCAAAATGCTGGGCTTACAGACATGTACCACCATACCCGGTTCTGTGTTCTCATTTTTAATGTGTTACCACCCAGCTTTATATACCATTTTATGCTTTATTGAGTCTATATCCATTATGTTTGGGTAGTATTTAATTTATAAATGAAAAATTTTACTAAATCTTTCCTCGGGTCTTGGGTACAACCTCAGACGTTTGTTCAACTTCTAATTTCCCAAGAGAAATAATTTCTCCAGATTCTTGAGGATGTTTTGAAATGTTTGGTTTGTCCCATAATGTTCTCAACATCATCTGGGAAAAGGTTAGCAGGAAGATTTACACTTGGCAGACCAAGATAATCTTCAAATGCATCTGAAGAAAACAATGCCACTGTCCCCACTATTGCCCACCTATGTGTCACTAGGGGAAACACCAGTACAGCAAAAAAATTTGCCGTTTACCTGTGACTGCTGTGCCCACAGAAAAGGAGTGGGCGAGAAAATACCCGTGTGATGGATCAAATCATTCTACCCCCTGCCTTGAGCTGCCTTTCTAGGAGCCAACTTTCCATCTTGGGTCCTTGGGAGATGCTTAATTTTAATTGACTGAGGAATTCTACTTTGTGTTTTGAAAACCACACAGAAGTAAGTTAAAACAGTTCCACTCCCTGCCTCCCCATCCCCAAACAAACAAATCCAAGATACTGAGCAACCTTAAAACAGAATCTTCGGCTTGTACCAGCAACTAGGTCTGTGATAGGCTATATATTTCCATAAACCTTAGAAATTAAGTTAACCATACCCACACAGAATGGAGTTGTGTTGCTAACTTTGCCCTGGGAGTAACCCAGTGGGGATGTTCCTCTAAATTGGATTTTTCCTTTTCCTAAATGATTTCCAAATAATTCAAGGTGGTCACACTTATGGAGAGGACAGAGTGTAGCAGTAGATTTCATTGCTCTGAAATGCTTCTGATTTTGAGACGGGATGGGACATTAAGTGTTTCTCCCCAGTTTTCAACAGTGCTTCCTTGTCACTGGGTTCCATTTGTCATTTGCTGCCCTCCGTGTCTTTGTTTCACAGCCTGTGGAATCTTGGCTTCAGAGAAATAAATGGACCCAAGAGAGAGCTGTATTTTAAGAAACAGAATGATGATCACTCACATTTTAAGTTAATAATAAAATCCGAATGTAATCGGTCAGATCCCCCCAGGAGGCAGTGTGTATAATCTGTGCTCAGGCCAGTGTGAGGGTTTGGCATTTCTAGGCATAGAGGAGGCCACCCTCATACAACCAGGGAGGAGCCCACTTGGGACCCTGTGGCCAAGAGAAGATTAAACACTGGGAAAGTTCTGTGAACAGAGAGGGCAGACAAACTGTGAAGGTGGAAATAAAATTGAAGAGTTGTTTGTGGAATTATGTGAACTGTGGAACATTACAGGTCATATCTTTCCTGCCTTAAAATATGCTTGCCAGTCTTACCCTGCTCTAGCTACTGCCTTTCCTACCTTTTCCCTTTCATGGCCCAGATTTTAAAAATGTGTCTTACTGGTCTCATTTCTTCACCTCTCTTTTACTCCCTAGTCTTATGTTCAGCTTCTGATTCCTTCCCTTCACAAACTGCCCTCATCAAGATTATCAATGACTTCCTTGTTGAAGAAAGCAAAACAACAGAAGACATACAGTTATTTAACTTCTATCATTTGACAATGCTTTACTTTCTGTGGTACTACTCTTTTGTTTGTTCTTTCTAGGTTGTTCATTCTAAGAAGACTTACTACCCCATTCTGTAGGAATCCACCCATAGTCTCCTCTTCTTATTTTTACCTACCCCTTTTAGGGACTCTTAAACATTTTCATAGTTTCAAACATGATTCACATTGCAACAATTTCTTAAATCTGTATCATGAGCCCAGTTCTCTTTCCTGAGCTCTAGACTCTATATATCTTGTTTATCAGCTTGAATTTGCTTTTTTCTGTGGAATATTTCAAAGCTAACTCATTCGACATTCCCAACTACCCAAGCTTATTTCTCCTTTCTTATGTATGTAGGTAGGTATGTACATATTTTGATAAATAGCATTATGATATCCTGAGACCCTAAAGCCAGAAATCTTAGCATCCTTTGTTAGTAGTTTTTTAATTGGTCTCCCTGCTTTTAATGTTTTTCTCTCTGTGGCCATGTCATGCAATAGCAAGATCTGACTTTAAAGAGTAATTCAAATCTCATCAATGCTTTCTTAAGAGTTTCTGATGGCTTTCTGTCTCTAGTAGGATAAAATAAAAACTTCTTGGGCAGGACCTGTTCTGGCCCTCTTCTCTCTACTTTATCATTTCTTTGTTTCCTTCATTGTTTGTCATTCTTTCTAGATGTAACTTTTACAGGAGTAGAGTCTTTGCTTTATTGCTATATCCCTGGAACTTTGAAGAATGCCTGGTACATAGTGGGCAACCAATAAATATTTTTTTAAATGGAAAAAAAAGAAGTGTCTTTAGATCCTGAGTCTCAACCAGATTAATCCATTTCCTGAACTACAGCACAGTTGTAAAGTCTGCTTTTTTTGCTTTATAATCCTCTTCTCATTTCTCTTTCCCTGCTCGACTTCTGCTCATTCTTAGTACTGGATCCTGTCACCTCATCCAGGAGTCTCACTTTGATCTTGTAAGTTTAAAGGTTAATATCTTCAATAGACTCCATAACCCATATACAATTAATGTGTAATTTAATTAATGTATTCATCTCTCCCACTAGACTAGCTCTGGCAGAGATGATATTTGATCTATTTCTTTAGAATTGTGGAGCTTTATAAAATGCACTCTGAAAACTCTATTTAAATAATTCTTTTGTCAAGTTAGTTGAAAGTGATAGACTACTTTGATAATGTATATTGGCTGTCTCCCAAGCTCTTCTACTTGCCAAGGTTTGATTTTTATATATTGAGATTTGTAAAACATAGAAACACATATAAACTTGCTTTTAGAAAAGGCTCATCTCCCTATTAAAGTTTTTATAAGAATACTATCTATGATATCTGTATTACCTATTATATTCCACGCATCTCTGGTATAGATTGTCTTATTACAAGAAGCTCTTCAAGGTGTAGTTATTATTGCTCTCATTTTACATACATGGGAACTGAAACTCAGAGGTAATAATATGTTCAAGTATGTACAAGTAGTAAACCTGGGATTTGAATCCAGGCCTCTTGATTTCTAAACCCAAACTCTTTCTGTTACACCATGCTGCCCCCTATGGGACAAGCCCACAAATCAGAACTGCTTATTAAAAATATGGAGATTATAAAATTGGAGTTCTTTTATGCTATAGAAGCAAGAAAGATGCTTTGAATGGCCGTTATTTTAATTAATGGGAAAAATGACACCAGTCTTAAGACTAGGGCAGAACGCTACACAGAATTGCATTTGCTTTTTCTACTTTTTCTCTGCTTACAAGCATAAAGGCATTTTACAGAAATTTGTGTTAACTGAGTCATGTTGTCCCTGATAGCATTTGCTAGGTAAAGTCAGGCTTAACCCCAAAGGAGGAGGTGCCTTTCTAGAATCTCCATCCGCTTGTCTGAAAGTTCATCATATTCACAATGAGGCCAAGCTACTTCTTTGGTCTCAGTTTAATGACACTGGTTTACCCAACATTTATCTCTTTCCTAACTCCTATCCTAGGACCCTGGGGCCATGTGGTTGGGAAGTCTGCCCTCACCTCTTACCTCAGATATGCCCCATTCTTGTCAGTTCCTTTTTATCAGAGTCTGGGCCTGTTTTCCCCTTTCCTGGTTTTGCTTGACTCCCTTGGCTGACATTTCCCTCATCTAACGCCACACCAGCCCCCATTCTGCATTTCCAGTTCCTTTCCCTTGATCTGTGTCCTTTCAAATCTTGGAAGTGTGGGTCAGCTGTGACCTGAATCATCCCTACCTCTAAATGGAGTTGATTTTAGATTATTGTTGTAGTTTCCTGCCCTTCCACTATTCTGATTTGGTTTCTTTTATGCTTTTAGGCTCTGATCAGTGTTTCCAGCCACTTTCTAGAATGAATACCTCAGGACAAAGAACCATATCAGCAGAGAGAGGATCAAGAATCAGGTGACTGAACCAAAGAATTGAATTTTACTGCTTACCACTCACTGCCTTTCTTCTGTGCATCTCGGGCGATGGCGATGGAAGACAGTCTATATGTGATGATGTAGAGTTAATTTTCTTTAGGTTCTGCTCATCTGAAGGATCTATCAGCTTAGTGATAAGCAATCCAGAAACCGGTTGTTTGTATCTTGCATATTGTAGAGCATCCATGATCCATCTCATTTCACGCCAAATTTCATCTGTTTGCTTGGGAATAAAATAGTAAAATGCATTAAGCCATGAAACAGCTATTAAAAAGGACTAAGTTTTCCTGAGAGCCTAAGATGATTTACTTTCCACAGTATTGATTTTAAGGAAGTGTAAAATATTTTCATATATACTTTCTTAGCCAGAAAATGCTTCTCCACAATCTTTGTATTTTGCATATTTTTTACCATAGAACTTTGTCATATAGTGGGAATAGTGGAAGATCCAGATTCTATTTAGCTCTGTAATTACTTTTAGCAAGTCATTTGATAAGTTTTGAAACTTAGTTGGCCTTATTTGTAAACTATGGGCAAAATATCTTCCCTTTTATATTTCACAGGGTTCCTACAGTATGGAGTGAAATGATAAACTTGAAAGTCCTTTGTGATGCTGCAGAGTATATTGCTCACACATATAAAAACGTTATTAACTCATAGCATACCATAAAATATTTCTCATTGGAGCATTGTGGGGAAGGGATACGATAAAGTATAAATTTCAGAGTATCTATGTTAAAAGTATATATTAAATATTTGTTATGTAAAAAGTAAGTACTTCTAAAGTACAAAACAGCTTATTCTTTTTGTCTTTTTTATTAGTATATGTTTTCAGTACATGTTTACATTCATCTTAGGGAGTAGCTGTGTGTATTTAACATCTCTTAATTCCTTTTATTCCCTTTTCCATTTTCTTCCTCTATTTCTAGATTTGCAAAAGATGTATCTCCCTGTGCCTATCTTTTATTTTTTAAAACTATTTATATTTTGGGTCTCTTATAAGAAAAGTTGTATGATATTTAAACTCATGTATCTAATTTGTTTACTTAACATTATCGTGTCAAGGTGCGTTCATTTTTCTACCTTGACTCATATTTCTCCTTTATGACAGAGTAGTACCCCACTGTGTATAAATACAACATTTTCATTGGGCAGTCATCTATTAATAGATATATAAACTACTTCCAAGGTGTAGCTATTATGAGTTGTGCTGCTATAAACATGAGTATGCATGTATCAGTGTAGTATGATGTCTTTAACTCTTTCGTGAAGATACCTAGAAATGGGTTAAATGGAATTCTAGTTTTATTTTTTTAAGGAATCTCTGTACTGACTTCCATAGTGGCAGTGGAGTTTACTTTCCCACAAACTTAAGCAACTTAGGCATTCTTAATCCTATTTTTAGAATAGTACATGTTAGGTTGTTACCATTTTGATTTCTGGATTACCAAAGTGATTTTAATGACATTTTCATTATAAAATACAATATTAGTTTTTCTGAAGTACATAGGTATAAAAGTCATTCAGATTTTTGGATCTCTTTTTGTGACAGATGTTCTCCAAGATCTTGACAGATGCCAGCCATGGTCTCTCTGGTTATTCTGTGGAAGAGCTGTTAGTTACACAGTGCTTCAGAGGACTTGAGCCTGTGGTTCGCTTTGCATCTACTTTTACTGGGTGGCTTGGGCAAAGCATTAACTTCTTCAGGCAACATATTTAACTGTAAAAAGAGGAGTTTGGACTAGTCAGTGGTAGTGAGCCTATGGCATATGTGCTGCAGCAGGCTGTTTATCATTGAAAGCTCTAAAAGGTTTGCCATCACTGGACTAAATGATATCTAGGGTTACATCCAGCTCTGATACTTTATAATTTATTTTTAAAAAACATTTGTAAAGTTGTCATTCCACTTCCAGGTAGAAGGTGTTCATTGTAGGAGTAGTACAAAATTAAGGTCTACTTGATTATAGAGATTTTAAAGATAAGGTATTATTCAGTGTATATTTTCAAAATTCCTTCTTAGGTCTTTAATCAGTACTCAAACCTACTCTTTAATAATATTCACAAAGCTGGTGCTCTCAAAACAAAGTAGAGTCTGAAATAGTGGCTTTCAGTCTGTTAGGTTTAGAGTGACATTCAGGCTACAATAAATTAATGAATGGGACTGTGTGGTTAATATCCACTTTCCCTTGATTTTCAATTCTGCTCTATCTGGAAGTAGCAGGACTTGGCAGACTGTTCAGGGCTGGTGATGACAGTATGAGATTGAGCTCCAGGACTTGTTAGCTTGGTGAGTTGAGGAGGAAGTTTGGCAGTAGGCAGGCCCATGTGTAGGCACTAAGCCATTTTGAAAGAAGAAATCTGAAGTCAGAGCTAAGACAATTGGGAATCCTGGGTGAGACTGAATTTTCCTGATGAAATTATTGCTTTCTCAGTTGGGTTTGATTGGCTCTATCTCATCCAGCATGCTCTTGTCTCAAAGTTATTTTAGAGGCATTACAGGATTGTGGACAGCTTTAACAGTGTCTGTCAAGGACAGGAACTATGCTTTTGTATCTTTTGCCTTCAGCTGTATATAGAGTAGGTTCCCCCAAAATGATTGTTTATTGCATGGGTGAATAATAAATGGGATATATACATAAAATTTTAGCTCTCTATTTTCAGAGTTATTATAAGGATTAAGAATATATATAGATAATATAATTAAGATAATATAAGATAATATAGATGTTTATAAATTATGCATTGCTATAGAGTTTCAGTTGTCATGACCTTCATGATTATTACTGTGGGTTAAATGTGTGCATTAGTTACTTTTCTCTCCTTGCTACAACAAAATACCCAGCTCCCAAAGTTAAAAGGGAAAGGTTTATTTAGCTCACAGTTTGTAGAGGTTTCAGTCCATAATTGATTGGCTCCAAGGCAGGGTAGCATGGCGGACAGGCATTGAAGAGGAGAAACAGTTCATGGTGGGCAAAAGGTAGCAAAGCAAGCAAGGGGCAAGACAAGCCCCTTTCTGTCCCTTATATTGTGTCCAGGCTACCAGGATACGGGCAGTGCCAAACCAATCAGTGGACTGATTTAGTAACTATCCACCCTTAATCCTAGTACCTTTAATCCTAGCATTGCAGTGTCAATCAGTCACATACTATAGATTCATCCACCTCTGAAAAAGCCCCACCTATGACTTCATGAGGCTCTAGGGGGAAATCTAAGCATAAGCCATAACAATGTGGATTCTAAAGAGTATGTTCCTAATCTCCAGAACCCATGACTATTACCTTATATGATAAAGAAGTAAATACTAATTTAATGTGAAATTAAGGATTTAGAGAAGAGGACTTTATCCTAGCTTGACACAAATTCTGATGACAAATGTCTCATAAGGACACTCATATAAGAGTGAGACAAAGGAGGACTGAGAAGGTATAAAAGAAGGAAGCAATGTGACTTCAGAACCAGGGAACAAAGTCATGTGGCTATGTATCAAGGAATGCCAATGGCCACCCGAAGCTGGAAGAGTCAGAGAATGACTTCTCTCTTATGCCTTCTGCAGGAGTGCAGCTCAGCCAGCATGTTAATTACACTTCTGGTCTTCAGAACTGTGAAAGAATACATTTCTGCTCGAAGGCCCCCAGTTTGTGGTAATTTGTTGTAGAAGCCTTAGGAAATTAATGTAGTTATTAATAATCTGCCTGTTCTCTTTTGATACAATGGTTTAGCCTGTTGCTTAGGATGTATAGTGTGGAAATTAAAAAATATTGTTTAGAAGCAATGTTGACTTCTTAATGTTTTTCAGTGATAAGGTGGCGAGGTCTTAACTAAAAAGTAAAAACCCATAGGTACAGGGAGGCCTGTATATTGAATTTAAAAGGACTTAGCTAAGTAGCTCCAAAAGAAGTACAGTTTTCACCCATCTTACCTTATACTGTTGATCTGAAAGTAACTGACAACATAATCCCCCCTGATTTTAAGATCCAAATTCAGCTTCTAAAGACTTGCTGACACATTTTTAAAAAAGAAAGACTATGAACTCAGTAGTCTGTTGATTAAAAGTTCTGCATCCATTTCTCACCCTGCTCTTTAAAAATTTCAGTTTTCATCCCATAAATTATACCCCTTTCTCTGTACTCAGGCAAGATAATATTTTTATTAAGATGTAAAGGTGATTGGTTTTCTCACAGCACAGCTACAAGGTGCTTGAGGGGATGATAGATTGGCTATATTTAATGAGCTGTGTTTCTACTACAGCTTAGAAACATTTGAAGCATTACAGTATATAAATTATGGCCTAATTGCCCTTTAGGCTTTAGCAGCTCAAAATTGCCACACTCCAGGCCTCCACACTTTGACATTATTCTCTTCTCTTTCTCCTTTCCATTCACTTTGACATTTCTGCTATATGTGCTGTCTATAAAGCCAGTATACCTTATCTATGCTTTTCTACGCCTCTCCTGGTCCAGCCCTCCCCCTTTCTGGCTGCACTTCTTGGCTTCTTTTCCTAACTGTATTTATATAGACTCCCTTGCTCTTTACAATGTTTGGTTTGTGTAGTGACTTCAACACTGTCTTAGATCTGGAATCATACAAATGTTCTCCCGACTGGCGGTCGCCTCTGCAGGTTATGCTGTGTGGTGGGCTGAGCTGTGAACACCAGTGGGTGAGTGGCTGCAGCTAGTTTTCATTTTGAGAGAGACTGAGAAGTCAAATAGTAAGAGGAGAGATGATATTGAAAGTATCTTCACTCAGTGAAGTTTATCCATGTTAGGTGGAGCAGGGTGGTACACTGAAGGCTATGGGTATAGTCAGATGATCTGGTTTTACCCTCCCCAACAAGTAATTTTTTGAACCCTTTAAGAATTGGCTTTTATCCAAGTCTGTGTGTACCTGGCTGGCTGGAAGGGGGGTATGTACTGGGCCTCTCAAGTTACCTGCTCTGGGAGACCAGAACAGGAGAGTACTTTGAAAAATTCCTGGCCTGGGTTGCCTTTATCCAGCCCTCTTAATAGTGTGATGAAAAGGAAAGAGAAAGAGGCAGTGGAACTGTAGGCTAACTGAGAAAGAGAAGAACAAGGGTAACGCTAAGGAAGTGAGAATGGAGTCAGGAACTCTGGGAGGGGTTCAAGACTTCAATAGACTAAAGACAGCCTCCTCATTGGAAGAACATACTGGATTCACGGAAGGCCTAAGTGGAATAAGGCAGAAACAACCTAAAGCATGGCTAGAGAAGTGTTTCACTAAACATAGTTTTGGTTGGTAGAGCTGACTAGGTCCTTAGAATTAATCTAATCCAGTCCTTTCATTCCATTCATACAAGAAGAAATGAGGCCTCGGGAGATCAGGTGAATTTTTCACCACTCCAGAGTTTATCAGTACAAGATTCAAGACTAAAATGTGTGCTCTTTGCCTTCTGGCTCATTATTGTTCTTACTGTGCTCCATTGTCTCTCTAATGATGTTTTTGGTGGAACTGTATATTGAACCCTGGTCCTTACACATGCTAAGCAAACATTCTAGCACTGAGCCATACCTCAAGGCTTTTTTATTTTTATTTTTTTAAATATTTGAGACAGGGTGGTTTTGCTATTTTCCACATTGGTTTTGAACTTGTGATCCTTCTGCCTCAGCGCCCCAGGTACCTGGGATTATACCTGTTTGTCACCATTTCTATTTGAATTTTTAAATCCTACATTCTCAGATCAAGAGAGCAAGTAACTTCTTAAAAAGTTATTTCTTCATTCTAAAAGGTCACTGAGATACTTATAGGATGAGGAAAGTAGGATAATCTTAAAGATTTATCTTTTCACTAATTGCAAGTGTATTATATTTTCTTTGTGAATGCTTCAGAGTCTCAATTCTTGTATAGTTATATTTCCAGAGAGTTTTCCTTTTTACTAGTGTATGAAAGAACAAATATACAATTTATTGCATAATTATTATGTACTGTGCACAGTTCTGAGTGCTTCACAAACATTCTTTCCTTGAATTCTCCATTTAACACTAGAGGTTAAATGATCCATATTATGATCCCCATTTTTCAGATGAGATTTGGACTAAGAGTGATTTATTGGCCCAAAGTTCACAGCGTTTCCTTATCTTAAATTCTTATTGCCCCTTGTCTGGATAGTTGTAAGAGTTTCGTAGCTGGTTTCCCTATTTAGTCACCTTCTTAAATCCAGGAGAGAGATGCAAATTATTTGGTAAGCAGGACTAATCAGAGTGAATGCTTACAATCAACAACCAGTATGGCCATAGTAACACAGAGGAGACAAGTAGCCCTGTGGCTTGAATCTATCCTACATAGAGTTGTGAGAGCCTATAATTTATTTTCTCCAAAACTTTGCCTATTACTTTCTTACCTACAAAATTAAATGCAAATTCCTTACAAGGGGCTTTAATAAAGTCCATGTGATTTGATCTCATTGCTACTTTTCAACCTTGCCTAATTTCTCACTACCGTTCAACATTTAATTTATACTCCACCTGGCCTTAACTATCATTCCCCAAATACTATTTTTCTCCTCTTTCTGCCTTATCTGTTTATACTTTCTGGCTGAATGCTCCATATTGTATTTTCTCCCACTATCATCTAATGTATTCCTACAGGCTTAGCGCAGATGTCAATGACATCTTCTGTGGCAGTTTTTCTGCTATCTACAGTGCAAGTAAATTTTTATTTCTTTGTGTTGACACAGCACTTTTTTTTGGTATTTCTCTTTCAGCCCTTAACAAATTTTACAAATAGCATTTCTATATACTTCTTGTCTACCAGAATGAATTTTAAACTCTTTAAGTTCAGAGACCATATCTGTTTCAACTTTGTATCTGCCATACAATGTCTGACACATGGATGCTTACAAATATTTTAAAATTGAACTGAATTTATACCATCATGATATTAATCGTGGGCCTATTGCTATTATACTAGATTTTAAGATTTGGATAAGTCATTTAGAAGCAATTTCAGGCCAAATCCAAATTCTCTTGACTACTACTAGTTATTACTCCTTTCAAAAGACCCTCAGGTGTCACCATAAAGCTTCTTCAGATAAAATTACAGTCAGGGAATACATTTTATTACCTTATGGCCACACATGAAAGGGTCAACTCTGCCAGAAAGAAGCCCACAACCGAGGAATCTTAGGTCTAACTAAGATTTTGGGTTAACATAAATTGGTAATTTTCCTTTCTGAGATTTTGAGTAAATTAATATAATTTTTCTTTCTGTTGGAATTATCAACAGGCTACCAGATAAGATTAATACTCTGATCATTCCTTCTGGGGCAATTTTTTTTCTGCAATGTGGTAAGCCATTGCTACCTACTAAGGTGGATGCTACAGTTCTTAGGAATAGTGTGATTTATCTGTAACGTTTTCTTAAGCCTTTGAAAACTCGGATCTACTTGAGCTCCTCACTTTAGCCAAATTACCAGGTTGCTTGAACACTGTGGTTTTTGAATCAGCCAAGATTTCTACTTTTTCCCTTGCTTGGTTCTCACCCCTCCCACCCTGCCTCTTCTTTCGTTCTGTTAACTGAGAAGAAACAAACTATTACCTGAATGAAATCTAAAACCTGCTGATGTCTTTGTTTGGCAGCTGCAACCTCGCTGTCTGAGATTGCTTCCCTCAGGGACTGTTGGGTATTCAGAGAATCCAGCTCCAGGACAGCAGAAAGGCGGCAATACAGACTAATAAATTTCTCTCTGTAGCTGCAAAAATGCACTGGAAAATGGACAAGCAAAGTAGAATATGTTAAGATCTGGTATCAAAATAGAAAACTTCATACCTTAGAGAAAACCAGTTGAATGAAAACATGATTTATTAATCCTATCAGTGGAAAATATTAGGCCATGAGTGAATTATAAATATGCTCTTAAAGGCCCAGTTGCCTGGTTTTAGTCAGACAGTATTCCCTTTTAGGTTTACCAACCCCTGGTAAGGTTTACCAACCAGTGGAAATATGATGGGAGCTGGTACCTGGAGAGACCATTTCCACTTGGAGCAGACTCGTTCTTTCCCTCTCAAAAAATTATGAGGCTGAGGTCACAGGAAACAATCTAGCCTTCATTTGACCCTTTACAGGAGGGACAGAGCAACGCAGGACTTAGCCTAGCGCAGACACCCTGAGGCACTCAGATTTTTCATACTTCTCTGACTGCCTCTGATCATATCATAGCTTCAGATTCAAAAAGGATGAGGAAAATGTCCTCATGCAGACTCCTGTAGTTCCAGTCTCTTCCGGGCACATTGTTGAATATGGAGACTCACTCTTCAGGAGCCTCATTTATTTTGTCTCTCTCTCACTTTTACCATCGTATTCCATGCTTTGGAAATAGGAGCATCTCAACAACATGTTTGTTGGAACATTTATGTCTCTGTCTTATGGGAGGAATTCTAGAAAGAAGATAGAATTACTACCCTTTACCTCTTTGCTGTCAGTTCCCATGACCAAAATCTGGTTATTTCGGGAGGCTGAATCACAGTGTCTCAGAATGGGGCATCTGATCAGCTCCACACCTCAGTCAGGAAGCCCTGGTCATTGCATATTGAGAGATTTCTGTGTACCTCACTGTTCTCATCTTACCATTACCTGCTCCCTTTCTTGATTTTCACTTTGGGTAAGTAATGTGCTCTGTTTGTCTTTCCTCTTATGGAGTGGAAGAGAAGAATTTGTTGAAGGCTTCAGGGGTTCATCCTTACCCCAACTCTGTTTCATTTGAAAGAGGTGCTTCTCAACCCAGGTAGTCTCAGGCCTGGAATTGAGTTTTATCTCTGATGTCAGATCTTTCCTTCCCATGTTTTAGCTCTCTATAGCACTTCCTTGTCTGACACGAAGAAGAGCTGATTTCACATACCCTTTCCGTAAATGACAAACTATTGCACTTTTCCAGAATCATAGAATTCTCATGTGACTTCCTCACTTAATGACCTCTGAAAGCTTCCTCTTAACTTCAGAATAAAACCCCAAAATTATCTTTGCACAAAGAAAGAAAAGGATCCTTCTTATAATGATCTAGGATTTGAATATATCTATAATCATAGCTTTCATTGTACAACCACCCTCAACCACTACTAGCTCTGCACCAATCCTGAGATTTGGTTAGATTAAACTTCCTGCAAATGCTTTATACTTCTATGCTTTAAAAAAAAATCACTGCATATTTGTAGTACAGAATAGTGATATTTGTTCTGGGGAACTGGTATATGCATATGACGTATCTTGATCATTTTCAATCTCTTTTCTCCCTTCTTCCCTCCCCCACCTCCCCCTGATCTTTCTCGTTTCTTAAGAGTTTCCCTTCTAGTTTCCCATCATCTCTCCTTTACTTTTAAAATTCATTTACTTGTTTTAGGTTTCTCAAATACGTCCATGCTTTAACATATGCCTTTCCTTATCCTCAAATACCAGTCTCTACCAACACCTTCAAGACTCATTATGATAATGGAAGAGTTCACTGAAATGTCTTCTCAGTGAAATATCCACTTACATCTCTTCTTTTCCAAGCAGAGCTTGGAAAAGGGTTTCTCCTCCTTTTGTGCCTCTTGAGCACTTGTTTCTAAATGTATGGTGACAGTTGTGTACGCAATTGCTTTGGTATTAGACTGTGACTTGCTTTAGGGCAGGAACCATGTCTTCTATTAATTTTTATTTCCTCAAAACCTGGAACATTGTAGCTTCTTAACTAATGCGTATTGAGCTTTATGAATAAAGAAATAAATGCATGAGTTGATCTGAAGAGGGCAGACCCTGCCCTCCTGAAGGCGCCTCTTTCCCTCTGTTCTCACTTCTGTAATTGTGTGGTGGATTTTTTTGTGTGTGTTCTGAAAAGTGTATTTCAGATCTATAATATTAACTAGCAGCCCACAATAAAGGAGTGACCATTCTTGACCCTTGTAGCTCCTTGAATGTATCTTTTTGCCTTTCAAGGAGGGATTGTATCCTGTTAGCACTTGACAGATGTCCTCTTTTGGCTACAGAATGAAGAGAGTGAAGTGTTTCACAGCCTGCTTTTCAAAACCAAGTTGTAAAAAAAAGATTCAACTTTTTTCCTTTTCTAAAATAGGTCTAGAAAAATCAACTGAATAATTTCTTTAAAAAACCCCCACTATCAGTCCCATCCAAATTCGTAAAAACCCGGGGTATTCACAGCTTTCTCTTGTGTCTCTGTGGTGGGAGCCATGATCAGTGGGTGGTCTCAGCACCCTCGCCATCCACGGCCATGCACCACAAGTGAGTTATGAGGAAGTTGGAACTGTAGCATTTCAGTTTCCTGATCTAGTGGTTTTCATCCAGAGTCTTTAAGGTCACTTTAACAAATGTTACTTTAACATAGTCTTTTGTGGTTTAGCAATGATATATTTGGTAGCCATCACCAAGGAGGGGAGGATAGACTGGAAACTTCTAATTTTTTAAAAATGTGAATCATTTTATAGACAAAATGGTATAAGGCTACAATAATGTCATTATCTGGACCACATGATTTGTTAGTAATTCACAAACTGAGACTAATTTTCTGTGGTGTTGTTTCTCCCTCTTCTTTATAAGATAGTGATAGAGTAAAATACAGCTGGCATGAATACTAGCTGTATAGTACAGTAGAAAGTGCATGGGCTTAGATATCACACAGCACTGGGTTTAAATCATAGTTTTGCCTGTGTGATGATGAGCAGGTAATCGCTAGGAGCCTCAGTACTATCCCTACAAGAGGGATAATAAGGCCTACCGACAATTAAATAGTAAGTGTAGATAAAGTATCCAACACAGCATATGACACATACCGAACACAAAATAAATGTTCCTACCCTTAGCCCTTCACCCCCAGGAAATATGAGACATTTTGTAGTTAGAATATTAGAACAGGATCGGAATTAGAATATTCTTCCTAAGGATCTCTAACTCACTAACTGCAGTCGGTCTGGGTCATGTGGCCTAGTTTGGAAGCCAAGGAATCAACTAGATAGCCTCATAGGGTCAGTGCCACGATTCCCTGCCCAAGCATCAAACAGAACCTGAGCACAAGGTGCCTCTCTAGATTCTTGGCAATGAAAAAGTTGGTAGTTGGAATACAGGAATTGTATCCTCAATCATGAAAAACGGGCATTAGGAATGAAGGTTGAGACTGTGCCATTTCTTGCAAGCCTGTGGCCTGGATTCTATTAGGCTCATTGCCTGGATATCCCACAGGCACCTCAAAACTCATCATTTGTCAAACTGAACTCATCATCTCTCCCCTCCCCCCCAAACCTGCCCCTCCCCTCCTATTTCCTGTTATGGTAGATGGCAACATTATCCATTGCAGCACCCTATTCAGACTTTCTGGCTCCTCTATTTTACTTTTCAACCACATCAAATCAATCACAACGTCTCATTGATTATAACTTCTAAATTCCTCTTGCCTCTGCTTTCTCCTCTGTTGTCCCCTGTGGCTGCCTTTGTTCGGGTTCCTATTGCCCACCTGGACTAGTGAAGTGGTCTCTTAATTGTCTCCCTCCCTCTGCTCTCAGTACTCCCCCTGGCCTTCCTCCCCACCCCCACCATTACTTTCCTGCAGCCCGCCCTCCACAGAACTTTGAAAATCCACTGAGGCCATATCATCCCTTTTCTTAAAATTTTTTCATCACTCCCTTTGGCATATATGATAAAGTCTCACCTCCTTAGGTTAAGGCAAGTAGCCTTTTCTCATTTTGACCTTTTTAACTTTTAGATTTCTGAGATGCCCTACACATTCATTGCAATGAGCTACCAAAAGTAATTTCATAGGTCTCCTAGCCTTTGTATGTTTAAAATGGTTTTCCTTTTCTGCTGTTCCTAATCTTTAACTTTCTGAATTTTCATTTATCCCTCATGATCCAGCTAAATGTTAACTCTGTAAGGAAGGCTGGAGTGTCTTTCCTCTAAAATTCAACAGCCTATGTCTTACAGCAATGCTTTCACTGTATAAGGTCTGTTGATGTCAGTGCTTATATCCTGTACTAGACTTTGAGCTTCTGATGGGTGGACTGTGCCTTATTAATGTCTAGCTCCAGTATAGTACCTGGCATACAGTGTAAGCCCAGTAAATGTTTGTTGAATGAAGGATACAGCCAAGCACAGAAGTATGAAATATATATCAGGCCTCAAACTATGTTTTAAAACTTCTCCAAGTTTTTTAATCTTTCTAGTCCAATTAGTATGAATCATAGAGCCAAGGGAATCAGTAAAAATCAGGGTTTTTTTTTCCTATCATATGTCTGCTGTTAATTGTGACTGCTTGCAGGACCAGGGCAGGGTGACCTCCTCAGTGTAGGTTAGGAAAATCCTCCAGAGGCCACCTCACTGGATGGAGTTTCTAAGGGCTTCTGATGGTGTATTTCTTTCTACTTTGGGAGCCGTGTAAAGAGTGGTGTTGGGTGGCCTCCAGACACATGCTTTATTACTGTTGAGGGGTCCTATTCCTGTTCCTCCCCAAGGGATGGTGGAGAGTTAGCCCTGAGGCTGTGGAATGAGGAGGGGGTGAAATTGTACTATTTGCCTCAGCTCAGCCTGCTTGCCCAGATCTCACGAGATCCTCCTGTGGGATGGGTTCTTTCAACCCCACAGGGCAGGGCATCCTCTGAAGGAATATCTTGTGGGTTTATCCCAGTGTCTTCACTCCAGGAGACAGATGGCCAAGCTCCTTTGTATCATTTTATCCTTACTAGATTTGTTTATTGCTGGAATAGGTACAGATGCAGTTTTCCATAGTTGGTTAGCAAATAATTTATGATTCACTTAGGCCACTGGTGGGAACGTGATCAGTTTGCCAAATCTTAAATCCTTTCATGAGAATGGAGATGACTTATACAAGTCAAACTGAAATATACTAGAACTCTTTATTATAATTTACCTATTCCCATAATTCACACCTTTTCAAGTTTCATTAGAGTTCCCCAGTAGTTATTAAAGTTTTTCTGAGTTCTGACTGAATTTCCAAATCATTCTTTTCTTTCTCAGAAATATTTAGTGTATCTTGACCTTTTATTATGGAACTACCTGTGGAATACAGAAGTCCCTGCTTTAAAAATGATTAGCATATTTCTTAGAGGAGCTTAGGTCCATTATTACAAGTCCTTTAAAGAGATTCTATATAAGGTATTATTAATTGCTTAGTGGGCTGAGGCCTAAATGAAGGAGTAACCATGATAATCTGCTTCTTGAAAAGCTTGGATTGCTTGAGGGATAATATAGAGGTTGTCATGATCTTGGTAAGACCCGCTAGTATTTCTAATATTATTGGCTGGCGGTGCTGAAATGCAATAAACATTTTATTATCAAGTGTATTAATCCTTAGCTATTGACAGCACTTTTCCTTGCTCCCTAAAGAAAAGCTAGTAGAATGTGTGTGCCAGTGGAACCAAGCTCAACCAAGTGGTCTTTTCTGGAAACTTGCATGCTCCTTATTAGTCAGGTGGATCACCCACAATATGGCAATAAAGGAGGACCAAGAAGGTAAGAAGGTGTCTCACTCTAGGAAGTAACATTTTAAAAGTCAGAAACTATGAGACAGCCTTTGATTGATGGCCTGTTTTTGGTAGATGGAGAGTAGTATCTGTTGGTCTTATATTGCTTTTAGCAAACAAGAAGAGGTAGGACAGAACAAAAACACAAATATTGTTGGATTCTACTAGACTACTGTGCTAATCACTTTCCTAGTTCTCTATTTCTGTGTCCTATGCACACTTCAAGTATGGATTTCTGGCATCACAATCACCCAAGAGCTTTTTAGAAAGGTACAATTTCAAGTCCCTTCTCAGTCCTACTGGACCCATCATAGCTGGAGTTGGGCTCTAGGAATCTGAAATTTAATCAGCTGTCCATGTGACTCTTATGTACGTTAAAGTTTGAGAAGCAGTGTTCTAGGGCACTATATCCCAGATATGTGGGTTTTAGTAGGTGACCTGCCAAGAATGGTTCCAGTTTGGTCAAATGATTTGGAAAATGCTGGGTCAAACAAAGTTAGGCTTTTCCGTGGGGGGAATTCTGCTGGATTTCATAGGTTACTCTATTGCTCAAAATCATCAGTTGAATTCTAAACATACTGATAGTAACATCTAAAGTCTTTATTGTGGCTCGAGGCTCTGGATAATTTGACTTCATTGACTCTGATCTCATCTCACACCTTTGTTGTTCTTGCTTACCACTTGTAGGTACACCGATCTGTTAGCCAAGCATAATCTTACTCTAAGACCTTTGTCCTTGGTTTTCCCATTTCCTGGAAATCCCAGGTATCTGCTCAAATGTTTCTCCTTCAGAGAGGCTTTCCTATATTGTTCTGTATAAAATTACAGCTTCTGCCACTTCACTCTTGTCTCTTAGTTTTATTTTTCCTCAAAGCCCTCACTTCTCTGACATTTATTATATTATTACTTGTTGATTGGTTTATTATTTGTCTCCCACAGTAGAAGTAGGCTCCATGTGGAGTTACTCATTCTTCAGTCTCTGGTATAATGCCTGCACTTAGTAGGTGCTCAGTAATATTTATTGATGAAAAAATGAACAAATGAATGGAGAAAGAAGATGAAGGCTAGTAGACTGTGCCCTAATTGTAGAGTGGAAAGTAACAATAGTGGGACAGAGAATGGTTGCCCAAGAGGAGTGTGTAAGGCTCACAGAAAGCAGGATAGACAGCATCTTTTCATGCCTGGGACCTACAGGGCCTGAAGTGTCATATACTAGGTTGATACAATATCATTGATGGTTCCTACCAAGGCCACTGAGGCATGGGGAAATGAATTTTCTGTATTTTTGTCTGTGATCATGGAGCAACCATGACTGTATTGTACAGAATAGAATATTGGTTAGCTATCCAATGACATGTTTTCCTTAGCTCTTTTTTCTGACAAATATCCCATGGAAGTCTTTAACTTTCATGGCTTCAGCTGTTATTAGCAGACACTGGCTACATTTCTGTGTTCTCTCCTGCATTTCTATCACCAATATGACATACCCACTTGGATGCTGACTTAACATTTTCAGACTTAATACATTCAAAGCTAAAAGCATCAGTTTATTCTCCAGACCATATTCCTTTCTGATTTTTACATTTTTGGTAAAGGCAACAATATCCTCATAGTCATTGAGGCTAAAAACCATAAGGGCAGTCCCACGTGTCTCCTTTCCTCATTTAAACAGTTGCCCACTCTTGTTGATTCCTCCCAATAATATCTGTATTTCTCTTTTCTGTTCTGTTCTGTTCTTCCTTCCTTCCTTCCACCCATCCTTCCTTCTTTCCTCTTTTTTTCTGATTACTACCATAACACCAGCCTGATTGCCTCAGAGAGTTTTGCATCTTGCTTTCAATTCGTATTGAACAGGCTCTTCTGCCAGATTCTCAAGAATCAATATGGCCCCATCTTGTCTGTACAAGCTTATTCTTCCTGATTTCCTCACACGCTTCAGATCTAGCCAAAGCAGACAACTTGTTCTTTTCCTGACTCTTTGTTCTTCTATTCTTCTATCTTTGGTCATTCTATTCCCCTTGAGAAGAAACATTTTGTTTTTGTTCATGTTTTTTTAACATCCTACCTGTCTTTTCATACCCACATTAAATATACTCTCCTCAATGGAGGTTTTTTTCTGATATATTCTTTGAGAAAATGTGCTCCCCCCTTTTTTCAATATCATATAAAACTGAATATTTATGGGACATTATAACTCATTTTATAATAATTTTTATTTTGACTTTACTCCCACCATCATCCTGAAAGCCCCTTGAGCACAGAGCTTTTGTTATGCTCATCTCTGAATCTCCCCAATAGGTATCCAAGAGATATTTGACTAGATATGAAATCTTTGCCCCAAACTGTATGTCATTATAACAATGCTATTGTATCATGAATTAAAAATGTTTTTTATCTGAGGAAATGGCCACATTCATATCCAGGCCCTTTGGGAGAAGTACGGCCAATATTATTAATTATGTGACACACAAAAGGTGCAGAGAGGTTAAGTGACTGCCATTGTCACACATGTGGAACCCAAGACCCTCAAATTCCCAGTCTGTAAGCTGATTCACACTTCTCTTAAGAACTCCCCCTCCTCTGGAAAGTAACAGTTGCTGTTCATCATCTGAACTGTTTGGAACCAGGGAAACTGAGAGGCTTAAGCAGTTTATCCCAAATGGATAAATTCAGATGCCCCAGTCTCAAAATGAGACACCAGGAAGTTGCCCTTTTCTGCTTCTCAGTCTGGTGGCCAAGGTACAATCCGAGGAAGGTCTGCCTCTATCCCACCCACCCACCCACTCGCTCAGCTGCCCACCAATTGTACAATTCACTGAAATTGACAGAGCCCTTGCTAATTGCCTCTTATTGGCCTGTTACAAGATGCAGCACGGGAAGGGAGACAAAGCCTCCCTATTCACATTCTCAGTGGGCAGCAGGGGGCTCAGCAAAAATAGAGAAACTAGGGCCCAGGCTATTCATTTTTCAAAAGTCAGGACAAGATCTTCCACCATTCAGAACCCCACATTAAAATCACAATATTGCATCCTGGGAGACCCTGTCTGTTTCTTATTTGATCTGTCAGGAATTTGGAGTCTAATAAATCAAGTCTAATCAATCAGTACTACTTATAGCTGCAGACCTTTTCCCCCTCCAGAGTGATACAAACTCTACATTTTAATTTCATTATTATTTTTTCCCAGTTGGAGGGGGGTAAGGAGAAGGAAAGAGAAGGGGCAGTGCTTTTCACGAAAACATCACTCTTGTGTTTATATTTTAAGAAAGCAGAGGAGAAGCATTAAATACAGCCTGATAACTGAACTTTCTGTTTAGAATTTCTTCCTCTCCATTGAGCCTTAGCAAGGTTTCAATAATTATTGCTCAGGCACATAGTCTTGGAGCTTTGCTGTTTCTCAGACTTGTACACAGTTCTAGGAAGGGTTGTTGCCAAAGCCATCATGTGATTTATTGACCCTCCACTGGGACAAGGGGGAACAGATATAACTTTGTGATTTTATTATAAGGAGGCTGGGTTAATATTTCTAGGTGAAACAAGCTACTATACCAAGTTCAAACATCTGAAGAGGGAGGTTAAGAAACCCTGAGTGTGGGGTGTAAGGATTATTCTGTCCTGGGGCTGTACAGACGTCGTCTGAGGCAGGGAGCAGGAGAAGAAAGGACACATTGTGACCCATTTCCAACACCTCCTGTGTGTAGAGGCGGAAGTTCCTTGCCTGCAGAGGGACACGCGCGGAGGAAAAATAGGAGAGTTACAACATGGCACTTACATAAACAACACCAAACTGGCATAAAACATCTAACAAAATTACACGACTTCAAGCTTGGAATTTTTATACAACATAAATATTAGGGTTCAGCCCATTTAATAATGCTATATAAAATCAAGATTTAAGGCAGTAATGTTCCACATAAACTCTGAAAACAACATTTATGCTTCTTATAAAAGCAGAAAATGATTGCATTCTGTAGGCTTTTCAAAATGATGAATATAATTACATAAAGCAACAAAAATGGATTGAATTAAAAATCCGCTAGTTTCAGTTTAAGTTGGTTAAGGGGGAAAAATGTAGTTTCTGGCCAAGGAGTGAGAAAATTTTATAAGTATCAAAAAAAAATTGTCTGCACTGTTAGGCAGTTAGGCAGCCTTCTCCCAACATGTCTATGTAGCCCAAGAGCCACCAATGAAATATGAGCTGCCTCAAACCTGCTAAGTCCAAGGAACCCTTTAATAGTATCCACTGTCACAAGTAGAACTGGTATTTTTTTTCTCTTGAGCATATGGCCACCTTTTGAATAATTCTTGCTCCCCTAGTATCTTTATGGAATCTCTTATAGTTTAGTCTTCACCAGTATTGGCTGGTTTGGACTGGCTATGCAGTATTGACTTAAAATCAGAGCAGTACAGTAATGGCAAGACACTCTTGGAATCTCTAATTTATCCCTCTGCCTCCATGGGTCAGAAGCCAATTCATGGTTCTTGCTCATTAAAAGAGAACTAGCCACTCCTGTAATGGTCTTACTAACGTAGGCTAATTGTGTGTGTGTGTGTGTGTGTGTGTGTGAGTGATGCTTGGAGGAGAGAGGCAGTATATGGTGAATATAGGCCAAAAAAAAAAAACCCAAACAAAAACAAAACCCTAATGCTACATTATGTTAAACCACTAGACAAAGTCTAGCAACATTTTACTAGTCTCTTCTGTGCCATCAGTTTTACTTGCAGTTGCTCATTTGTGCAGATTAGATTTGTGGATTTTGATTTAGATGGGACAACAAGTTTGACAGTAAATTTTCTGGAAATTTATGGAAAGATAGCATGACATAGTTTAGCCATTCCTATAGATTACTGTTATCTGTTCTCAGATAAATCAATTGTTCATATAACTACACCATTATTTGTTTATGCATGCATCTATGTATGCATTCACATTTATTCATGCTATCCTGTGAGCCTTGATGTCTTTTAAGGTAGACTTTTTTCTTGACCAGACCACACTACAGTGGGATCCAGAAAAATTGGAAGAGACTGACACAGAGGAGCTGGACAAAAAGAGCAGAAGTGTAGTATACATCTACTTGTATGCATTAAATTCAAAATATGCATGTACATGCAAAGTAGTGATTAAGTAAATGAAAATAAACACATATATGTATATACATGCCTCTTGAATAAGTTTTATGCTGCACTGCAGTTTCTATGAGCTATAAAAAGAAGATAATATGATAAAGTCTAGTACCTGGTGTAGAGGTATATTGATCTGCTTAAGAAGAGCTTTCACTGCCATCTGGAGCTCATAGAAGAACAATTGCATGGGGCAGTCAGAAGTATGATCCACACTTTCCATAGATTCAGAGCCAGAAAGCTTTTGGATCCATTCCCACTCCTCCCTGTAGGTTGAGTCAAATTAAAATTAGAAATATAACAAAAGTTCAGAATACAGTCCAGAACTTTCTTAGTGTATATGTCCAGAACCTGGATAATCGATTGTTGGTGGTTTAAAACTCAATGTAATTCACAAAATTTGAACGTTTTTGCTACCCAGATGGAGTTTAAAATGAGATCCTTCTAAATTCAGCTTAGTTTACTTATCAGACCACACATGTCTCAGAACAACAGCATTAATTTATATGAATCAGTTTTTGAGATGGAAGCTTTCAAGTATTTTGTAATAATTTCTTGACTGTCCTCATTTTCTTTTCCCTAGGATCCTCTGTAAGTTCTAAGAGTCTACATTTTACTGCAGGGGCATCTGCTGGTTAATTCTGCAGTTGGGTAACCATGGGACTCTGGTCCAACTCAGGAAACAAACCACATGGCACATTTCAACCCTGGCCTGTTGTAATCATGGGGACTATTTTGGTTTCTTTCCCCTTCCAAAAACTTGAGGAGAATCACAAACAAGAACAGCAGACAATTCCAATAAAAGGAACCAAGGGGACACACATCACTGCTTCCATCCTCCTCACAGACCAGTCATCTGTGTCTTCTTTCTGCATGCTCTGTAGTCTTTCCTAATGAACTTTTCCAAATGTCATGCAGAAAGGCAGGGAAAACAATGGTGGTGGGAAGCAAACGCATCTGGTTTGTCCTCCAAAGACTGCTCTTTAAATGGGACTTGAAAGGATCACGGTAAATGCCTTTTGGGCAACACTGTTTCCACAGGTATTTTAGCACAAGTCCCTAAACACATCCAGTTGGGGCAATGTGCTGTAGGCTAGAAAGGAGAGGAAAGTCCTCTTCTTCAGGGATGGAAGGAGAGGGGACACTGGCATATGCTCTCTCCCTGTGGAAATCCTCTGAGGGCTGTCAAGGGGTCATACAATCGTGTGTCAGAAAACCAAACTGATTGTGGTATGAGCTTTATAAAACAAAAAACAAAACAGCAGTAATAAAAATACTTTCTTTTAACTAACTACTCTCAGTTTGTGTTTTTAAGATATGTTTGATTTCAAGCCTCCCACACTGTAGGACTGGAAAATTTATCCTTTGTCCCAATAAGAGAAAAAAATCAAAATGAATTCCTGCTGCAATCTGGACATATTTGTGGCTTCATAAATAAATGAAATCTTTGGAAACCTACTTAACTATTTTTTCTTTTCCATCACTGATGCTGAATTAAATGAGAGTTTTATGACTAACAAAAGTATACACAAACTCTAAAGAATCACATTGCTAAAATACGGTCTGTAATAAAATCAAAAGTAATTACCAGTAAGAATACCTTGGAGCATGTAGCACTAACTAGTCAGTTTAGGTATGAAGATGGGGGAAATGGAATTGGCAGAGAGAAGGCTACTGAAATCTTTTGTAAAAATGAACCTTGGATCCTGGGCAAAGGGAAATTAGTTAGCATAACTACTGAAAGACAGAATCTAGGCCCTTAATGCACAAATCTAAAAATGAATGAAAATGACCATTGCTAAGTCAACCCACAAATGAGCCAGGTCACCTTTTGGGAAGGACTCAGATGTTAATTGTCAAAGTGACCACCAGATGGCAGACTTAAAGCCTGGGTGGAGTTGGATAATTGAAAGGAGAGAATTATGGCGGTCAGCAAGCTCTTCAGAGACTATCAACATCTCCACTGTCATCATCTCCATTGTCATCAAGTAATACTTGTATTGTAAACCTTGTGAGACATTATAATTAGTAAAGTTTTGCCACTTTAGGGAGTGGGTTTTAAACAACCAAACTGGAGATTCGTTTGGTTAAACAAGTCCATAGATATTCAGTGGAACCTTGAGTTATGACTGGCCTGACATACGAACAACTTGGGTTACGACTGGAATTTTAGTTTCAACTTACAACCAAAGTATTGAGTTACAACCCGAACGCTGGCCACTTGTGCTTCCAGATGGTCTCAGATACAGATTTAATTAACCCTTCAAGAGTTCTGGAAGGAATGTTACAACATCCTTTCCTGTGGGGGGGTTAATTGAGAAATCCTGGGCCAGTGTCTCCCTAAGGACGCTGAGATCTGCCTGTGTACAGGAGAGAGGCTTTGGAGGCTGTGCAGAGGAGCCTGAGCCTTCAGTTGACCAACCTGAGTTACAACCAGCCCTCGGGAACAAATTGAGTTTGGAAGTCAAAGGTCCACTGTAACTAGAATTTGGGGCTCTTGTTTTTATCCTTTGAGGCCTGAAGAAATCTGGAGGTTTTTTTTATTATGTATTTCTTCTTTTTCTTTTTTGTCCATGCTGAGTACAATTCAATTCATTATAGTAGACTTTCACAAGCCTGCTATTAGGGTTAGTTGTAAAGCTGAGCCAGATTGCCATGACTGGGCAATGTTCCCAAAGCTAACAGGGTAATTCACCAAATGCCAAGCCATAGAGCAACTTTCCAGATTCTCAGACCTTGTTACTTCTTTTCTTCCATAATCTTGAGAGGTAGAGGAAACAGATAAGATTTTTAGGCCACAGGGTTAAGAATAGGGAGAACTGGTAAAAGAGGCCCTTTAAAATTAGAAAGAATCAATATTTCTACCAGAACCCATCCCCACAGGTGGTATTAAACACAAAGAACAAAAAGAATGTGACTGTTTCAGATTGTGAAGGAAAGACTGGAAAGAGTAATTGCAAGCACGGATGCACATGACCCATCCGTGGGCACTGAGCATCCATGGTTGCGCCATGAATAATGCAGAGGGGACAGTGAAAGGCTGAGTTCACTGCTCCCACTTAACGCCAGTGACAGGTCTCCTGGCCCCCATGGTAAAGCTCTTCTGTGCCCTGCTCCGGTGTGCTGGGAGGCATCTCACCGTAGAAACCACACACCAAGTCTTCAGGCACGCCACATCGATTCCTTGAACCACACGTAGTTCATCGCAAAGAAAAATCTCAACTCCTGACCACTTACTTGGAAATGTTATTGTTTTCACGGATCTTCACATGGCAGAGAATGTTGGGCAACTTTTGTGTTACAAGAACTTTGATTTGATCCACAGAGCTACATAACTTTAGGTAACCTAGGTATAATCCAGGAGAGAGACGCTGGTGACTCCTTTTGTGGTAGGAGAGAATATCCTGTAGGATGAAACAAAATAAGAAAGAAAAAGTACCTAGAAAAGTAGTCTTAAAACTTTTTCCTTTCCAAGATGGGCCTGTTATGAGTGAAAGGAGCTGTGGCTATCTAGGTGAGAAACCTCAGGTACCACCATGAATGCTGGTTAAGTGCTGGTGTTGCAGCTAGTTTTACCTTCAGCAGAAGTCTCCTTCAAGTCAGGCAAGCAGTCTTTAATATATTCTGCAAACTTATTTTTCCCAGATTTCTGTGCAAGGGTAGGTGTGTAGGTTGTATTGGGAATGGACTGGTGGTATGAAAGCAGGTAAAGAAAGGTAGAATTCTTAATTTCTCTCGCAGGAGGGCTTACTGGTTAGCTGGGAAAAAACATACATTTGCCAGTGCAAAACCTAACAAAGCAGTTATAGGAAATTTCATGATTTTCAGGATAATTAAAACAGTCCATTTTTAAATGTAGCCACTTAAAACAGAATCAAAATTTTATAGTAAGTAGGAGAAATATTTGATTGATTCTTTATCTTAAAGTAACCTCAAGAGTTTCATTTTTATATTATTAACAAATCATAGTTGTACACCCAATCTGAGAATAAAGAGAGAATAAAACAAGCATTGATTTTTTTTGGCTTTTTTTTTTTTTTTTTTTTACTAAATTGTACGATAGCTGAAGTGATACTCCCTATATTTGACTTTCACAATGTGATTTTCACAATAATGAAAACAATTTATGAAAGTATATGAATCTTCATATTTTTCCCTGAGATATTAAAAATTTTTGATATTTAAATGTTCTTATGAATTTATTGTTCATTATACACTCTTCAATCATTAATTGGTCCATTACTTCTAGATCCTCAGTTGTTAGTGCCTTTGCATGTGAGTTGATTGGATTTGCATATCACTTTCATCAACTTCACAAAATTCTGTATTTTAACAAGAGTTGAAAGCTTGCCTTGTAGTCGATTTGCATTGAAATTGCATTGCTTTGTCACATCAAAATATCCCACATGTTGTGGAGACTGAATGAAGTTGTTGGTACAATAGGAAGTGTCAGCCAAGATTAGATGGAGCTGTTTGAATCGAATCTTGTTTTATGTGTAATCAGTTCTCTAGTGAACTGAGTTATGACTTGCCTCCTTATACAAGTGCAGGGCTCAGACAATGGATCATTAGAAAACACCGATGACACTCATTTTCTCCCCACCCTTATATTAAGAAGTAAGACTTTCTAAATTTTGGGCAGAAGAGTATGGGAAACAAAGTTAGCAGTGAGGAGTCAGGCCACTGATTACAGGGGAGGGCTTCCTGTAGTCTAGTTTAGCTTGGTTTTTAGAAAGGTAAAATAACTAAGTAAATTTCTGTGTGTCATCACAAATAAGTAAATGAGGTGTTGGATGTAATAGTTAACTTGACTTACCATTCTGCATTGTACACATATATCAAACATCATTTTGTAACCCACAAATGTTTAGATATAATTTTTAAATTAAAAATAATGGTAATAAAATGTAGTATATGAATTTGAAAAGAATGAAATAAAGGGAATCTACCATTAACTGTAGGGAAGGCAAGGAGTCCAACCAAACTGAAAATTTAAACTTGTATAGAATTATGTACAGAAAATTATAGGCCTTCTTTGACCACTATACTCTGAAGGAGTGATCCCTCCTCTGTAGAATTAACCATGTGCAGCACCTAGCATATACTATTGTGTATTGTTTCCTCTGTCCCAACCTTTATCAAACGTACATTGAGTTCCTGTGATGTGCTGGACACTATGGGAAACACTGGGGTTTCATGTAAACATGATGTGATTTCTACTCTTATGGGAGCTGAGAAAGACAGATGATCACAATATATTGAAATCAGTTTTATAATAGAGACAATGTAGGCATGCAGTGGAAAGAGTACTTAACATATTTTTTTCATCTTTTTTCCTTCTATTTTTTGGGGCACAGATTCTGGGGAGCAAACCCGGGGCCTTGTATATACTAGTCACTTGCTCCATCACTGAACTGTACTCCCAGGCCCTCTGTCTTCTTGAACTGGACTGGGAGATTAATGATTTTTTTTTGTTGCTTTGTGCCCTTAGAATCCAGTACTATTATTAGTTTATAAAGTAAGTACACAACATGTGTTAATCAGGTCAGGTCCCTAAAAGATAATATGGGAATAGCAGAAGAGGAACAAATTAAGTAAGAGTAGTCACAACTGGGAGGAAGATATAACAACTAGTATGTACAGAAAAGAAAACTCTAAACAACTTTTGAAAGGAAATTTGGCAAAAATGTTTTTTCTTATGCTCAACTAGGAAAGAATTCCTATTAATATCAGGGGATAGATAAAGCTGAACTTATTAATATCTTTTGTCATGTCTCTTTAGAACAGATCATAGTAGTAGTTGGCTGGAAGTTCAGTCAAGGTAGTATTTGGGAAATGAAGAACTAAAGGGAGAGAAATGGTTAATGTCAGAAAGAAAAATACAAGTGTTCAGATCAGCAATATTTGATGATATATACTCTAGGGGTATTCTGAACAAGCAGCTGTGGCTATAGACCCATGGGTCATTATTTTTTAGAAGTCACGGAGAACTGGGAAAGTCCCTAATGACTAGAAAAGGACAAATATGCCTGTCTTAGCAACAGAAAGGGGAGAAACACAGGATGACCCTAGTAATTAAAGACCTCTGACTTATTGATCTTTGGGAAAAATGAGAAAGAATCAAGCATACAATCAATTTGCAATCACCCAGGAAATCTCAAGGCCCTAAAGAGAACTCAGTAAGGCTTTATGAAGAGGAAATCATACAAACACCTTTAATTTCCAACAGCAATAAAATAGGATCCACACACTTTGGAGAAGTCTCCAGGGTAATCTATTTCATTAGATAACCTAGAAAAGGTAGAATGTTGACCGTATTTAACAAGCTGAATGTCTGGGATGAAGATCTGTGGAATATAAAGATGGTATGGGACCAGTAGACAGATTGAGTGATGGTGCAGTAGGGATTGTTCCCATGGGGCAATCTGTTCAGCTTAGTTATTGACATTTTTGACAAAGAAAATCAAGAATGTGTGTATCAAGTTTGTGGGTCTCAAATTTGGTGTGGTTTTGATTTTCTGGAAAATAGTAAAAAAGCTATGAACGACCCAATGCATTGGAAAATAAGCCTATCATAATTAGGGTTGAAACTTAATAACAAAATGTGCTTGTAAAGATTCAAACCCAAAAGTACAAATATAGGATGGGTAAGAGTGTAAGGGAAAAACATGTAGGGGTCAGGACTGACCACAAATAGAATGTGAGTCAGGAACATACTGTGGTTATATAAAAACCAACGCCATTCTAGAATGGAGTAATTCACTCTTTCATTCAGTTTTTTAAAAGACTATTACTGAGCATCTATTGTATATATTTTTTGCCTTTACACAGTCATTTATCCTTCATTAGAATGTTTTTGGGGCCTGAGAAACATATGGAAAAGAAAGGAGCTGTCTTCTTCACATAAATTAAAATATACCAGAAAGGCCTTCTAGCACCAAATTGAGTATCTGATTTAACCTCTAACCCACGTTTCTAGTCTCTAAATTTCATTGTAGCCCTTTTATGTCCTCTGTCTCCTGCCATAATGGATTTCCATAATACATGCGCTGATCTCCCTTTTACGATTGTTGGTTCATGAATTCACTCACTCTCAACTATTATTGAGCACCTATTACATGTCAGGGATTATGGTAGGTTATTAATGATACCAAAATGATTAAGACACTATCTTTCCCTTCAAGAAACTTACATTTCAGTGTGTTGGAGAAACACGTAAGCCAGTTTTTCTACCTCAGCATAACAAAGGCCATAAGGACAGTATGTAAGATCCATGTGGACCCAAGGGAGGGTGAGATCAATTCTTCCAGTTTCAGCCTTGCTTCTTTGCTATGGTCTCTATTGAATTCCTTCTTCACTCCCTTTTCTTGTTCTTTCTTTCTCCACCTGATAAACTTATCTTCGTGGTTCAGTCAAATGCCACCTCTTCTGCAGTGCCTTCCCTGATATTTCCAGGCAGAATTAATAGCTGCTTTGTGTGTACTCCCATAGTACTGTGTTGGTACTGCTATCAGACTCTGGTTTAATTCTGCCTTGTATTACCTTGATTGGTTTACAAGACTGTTTCTTTCCCTTGACTGAACTCCTTGAGAGCAAGGACTTTGACTTATTCATTTGTTTTTCCTATAGCACCTAGAAGAGTGCCTAGAACCTAGTGGGTGTTGAAAAAAAAGTTTATTCAATATGAAATGAAAGGCCCAGACGTGTGGGTTGTGGGCTGGGCCTCCAGGAGGGAAAAAGCTGTAATGGTGCAGTGATCGGGAAGGGAGTATCGAGCCTCTCTTCATTGATCTGATATCCTAAGAGCTTGTTAAAGGAGTAATAAACAGTTACTTTGCCAATAACTCTAGGGCTTTTATTTTGCTGCATGTAGTGTGGAAGCTGAATCGTGACAGAATGGTGGCTAGTGGTTTTTGTGGGACCAAGATTATATAGACTATAAATAATTTAAATTTTCTGAATTATTTTCTTGCTTTTAATACTAAGGAGATTTTTGCCCTAAATGCTGGATCTCAAACTTCTCTTTTAAAAGTGGAAAATATTTCAGCAATGGAACAGTGTTCTTCCTTTGTAATAGCTGAGACCGAACAGGGTCTGCTGTCTTTAGATGAGATGAGGACTCTCTAGATTAATGTAGACTCTATAACTTCTACTTGTTTCTTTTTAAAAAATTGAGACACAACTTATATGCTACAAAATTAATCCTGTTAAAGTATGCAATTCAGTGATGTGCAGTATATTTATAAGATCATGCAACCACACAGAAAATTAGACAGAAAATGTTCTGTCTAATTCCAGAACATTTTCATCACTTAGAAAGAAACCTTACGTTCACTAGTTGGCATTCTCTAATCTCTCCTCCCTTTGACCCTGAACCATTGCTTTTCATCTACATGGATTTTGCTTACTATGGATATAGCATATAAATGGAATCATATAATATGTGTGACACTCTGTCTGGCTTTTTTCACCTAGCATATTTTCAAGGTTCATCCACATTGTAGTATGGGTCGTGCTTCATTCATTTTTATGGCTGAATAAATTCCACTGTATGACGATATCACATTTTGTTTATCCATTCATCAGCCATTGGACATTAAGGTTTTTTCTGCTCTTTGGCTATAATGGATAATACTTTTGTGAATATTGGTAAATAAATTCTGTGTGAACCCAGTTGGTTCTTAAGTCCAGGCCAATTAGTTCATACCCCTTCATCTCTCTGATTTGATAATTTTGATACCTATGTTAGATACCACTTGGGAGTAGAAAGAGTAGGCATGTATAGGAAAAAAGGAAAAGGCAGAAGATATAGTAAATCTTGGGCACCTGCAGGTGGCAAAGAATGGCCAAGGAGAAGAAGAGAAGGAAGACAGGGATGGGAGGACAAAAATAAAGCCAAGCTGCAACACAGTTTCTCTAGGATGAACTTCTAAGGAAGGGGCAGGAAAAGTGAAGGGGGAGTGCATTAAGCACCATGGTCGAAGGGGAAGGGCACTCGGGTGGGTGTCAGAAGAAGTGAGCCCCTCTTCTGCTGCATTTTGGCTGATGTGACTTTGGCAAGTGATCCACTTGAAATCCACGGTCTCATCTGTGAACTGGATACAGAAGAATTCCTCAACCCCACTGGGTTTTGAATCACATTATTTCATAGATGTAACACAGGGTTACACAATTGAATATAAGTACACAGGTGAGAGATTCATTTTCAGAGGAAACTTCACATGCAGGTGTCCAGTTTCTGAAGTGGCCCCTGAGGATCATGTTTAGAATGCCTAATATGTAAGAGGAGCTTTCTTATTGCAAATACTTTCACTGACGATTAGTTTGCTCAGAGGGACTCTGACTTGTCCTTACTGTCTCTCTTTTACTTCCAAGGGCATAAGAAGGATTTTTCTTTCCTAGATATATTTATTAGAGGGGCCAGTTTCGAAGGTCTAGGATTTGAGAGGTTCAGGAAATTAAGAGAGTTGGATAGTGAAGCTTCCTTGGGGACCTGTGGTCTATTAGATGAGTTTATGGGCTGAGATTTTGTTAAAGTTTTGAAAACCTTTTTTTTTTCTTTTTGGTACCGGGTGTCCAACTCAGGACCTTGTGCTTGTAAGGCAGGCAGTGGAACCACTGAGCTAAGTCCCCAGCCCTTGAAAACCACTTTTGAGGACCCATTGTACATCATGTAGCTTTTATACAGCCCCTCCTAAGTGTTTTGAAAAAGCAGATGAAGTGATGAAATACTCCAAGGAGTGAATGAGTCAGTACCAGAGGTGTCCTGGAGAGTAGGTAAGAAGAGATGTGCTGGGTGTGTCCTGAGGAGCGATAATAAAAATCACTAACATTTATTGTGCTACTCTCCTGAGGCTTTACATACTAACTCACTTCCTGCAGGGTTTTCTTTTTCTTTTTTTTTTAAAAGGAGGTGAAGCAAGGGGTGAGAAGCACAGTAACTAGCTCTGGTCATGTAATTAGAAAGGATGGGGTCAGGAATAGTATCGTAGGCAGACTGATCGCAAAGTGGTACCCAGAGTGTGTTGTGCGGTAGCAAGAAAAAGCCCAGGTTTCCAATGACCAGGGTGCCTGATGGTCATCACTCCACTTCCCCGAGGAAAGAGAATGGCCTGTGGCCTGTCACTGTTGGAGTTACTCAGCCTGCTTGGTCCTCCATCAAGATCCGTGTCAACCCTTGTGTTGAGTTGGTGGAGCCTAGTCCTGACCATGGGATCCTAAGTCTAGGATGGATTAGATACCAGTTCTAGGAATTTTAGTACCCATTTCCTTTCCACCATAAGACCTTTATAGGAAGGTGGGGAGAGAAAAAGAGAGGGAAAGAGAAAGTAGAGAGGAGGCGGTTGGGTTGGGAATGACATCAAGCAGGAATGTGCCAGTCAGCGGGGGTAAATTTTCCACTTGGATCTGTGTGGAAACCTGATCCTGCCCCTATTTTTGGTCTCCTTCTCTAACAACCTTTCACCAGACTGGAATTTTTCTGCACCTGTAACACATTTTTAATGTAATAAGTCTAGGAAAAACCAGGTATTATATCATGCTGGGGCTTGTGCTGTGTTTCTAGGAGCAAAGGTAGCCCAGGCCCCAGTTTATCCCTATAGGGGATTAGTGTATTAGTCACCCTGTAAAAGCTCAATTTATTATGATTTTTTAATGTTTCTTTTAGCACTCGCTTATAAAAGGTGAAGAGGGGAGCTACAAATGTGTCTGTGTTCCCTGCCCCCGCCTCCTTCACCCATACACATACACTCTATCAATTTGCTATGAGCCCAAATTCAATAAAATCAAATCCAGAGGTACTGGCTTTGACCAATTAGCTTACCTTTGCTGTGCTGGACTTTGTCCTGGTTTGGTCCAGTGCAAGTAATGAACAGATGAGATTATTGCACTAGGAGTCCCTCACTTGGGAATGCAAGCAGGTTAGAAAGTAAGTTAGCTGTTTGAGGTGACCATGAATGGCTCCTGGAACTGAGGCTGGGATTTGGGTTGTTCGTGTATGACTGGGCCCTTCCTTGCTTGCTACTCCAGATGGGCTGTTTTGTAGATATATGTCATTGTTTGCTTGGGGCTCAATGTTGATGTTTCTGCCAGTTATTCTAAACTGAGAGTTTTGTACAGCTACTGTTGACTCAGTTTTAAAAACGAAACAGCTTGAAGCTTATGCTTACACAGAAATGCATAAGACTGCATGGTGGCTGGGATGGTGCCCACTCATAAGTAGTCATGAGCTTGGGTCCTCATAATGCCATCCAGGCTGTCTGCATCTAAGCTGCTTGGTATTTGAACTTTGGTGATTATTTCATAATTCAGGTGAATCTTTCATCCCCCATCCTTCATGCACTAAAATAATAACTCCTACTGTAGATGTAATAGAGCAGAAAAAAGCCTGGATATAGTCAGAAAATCTGAGTTGAAGTCTCTGTTCTGCCCTTTTCTAGCTGTGTGCCCATAGGGCACATTCCACGTTTTTAGGGGCCAAAGTGAACACAATTTCTGGTCCCTTCTTTAAGGAAAATAATACGAAATTATCAGTGTGAAATTGCTAAAGTGCCAGTCAGGGACTCAAAAGGACTTGTTTAAGTGAAGAACTGAAGTACATTGAAACTTTATTAGCTTCACTAAGTTTGCCTGTGTATGTTAGTTAGCCTCTTTGAGCCCCAGTTATTTCATTCCTAAAATGGAATTAATCATGTCTGTCTGTTCCAAGAGGGTAAATATGTGCAAGGGTGTTTTTGTTCAAAGAAGCACACACACCTAAAGTATACATGTATCCATACTACAATGTATTATTGGTACAATCCACTCTGTAGGTCCACTACTCAATTATTTGTCTCATTGTTTCTCATTGGCTTTTTGGCCAGAGCATTTTCACAGCGATCACTATTTGTACTGCTTATATTTAGATCCAGAGAAGGATTAATAATAAAACATTTCAGCATCTTTACTGTATGTGAGATATGAGTAATGGCCCATCTCAGGACTGTCTCTACTCTGTGGCTGCACATGTAAGTAGCTTTTGATATATTTTACTAGAGCCTCCATAATTGAGTTTGGAATTTCAGATGTATCAGGAAAAAAAATACATACCTGGATGGTTATTAGTAAAATGTCTAAGGCCGTTGGCTCCTCAGGTGTTGATAGAGACTTCCTCTGGCTTTGCAGCTTTGAGATCTGCATCCATTTGCCATTAAAAAAAGAATAAAGCATCTCCACCTCTCTGATGGTGACTATGAGTATGTTTCCATGCCGGTCTTTAATGGGCTCGTAGTAAACTCTTCCCAAGTTGTGTGTTCCAAGTAAATTCTAGAAACAAAGAGATAACCATAGCAGAGATAATATTGTAAAAGCAAAGCACTACAACCATGATAAAAGACACTGTGAATAATTGGATGACTTCTGAGAAGCTGTATGTTCTGTCAGATTTAAACCTAGAACATGTGGCATCATAGAAAAGCACTTAACAGAAACTTAAAGAAAATATCTTCACCACGAGCCTATGAAGATTATTGCAAGAGGCACAACAATCATGCTTTTTTAAAAGCAAGTTCAATATCCGTAAATATCTCTTAGCCACATAGACACACCAGCACATAAACCTCAGGTACCAGTACTTGAAGAGAATCCCAGATGTTTTAAAGAAAAATGCCTGAGATTTCAAATATGCTACTTGTGGAGTTTTCAAGAGATCTACTGTAAGCTAGTATGAGGTGGGGTTGTTTAGAATAAAGAAGTGAATTGACAATGTAGCACATTGTACAGGTCCCCAAATGACTGCGCATTCCCCTCAAGATACTTTAATTGGGAGATTGGCCTGGTTTGACTTATCTGCATTTTAGGGAGTTCTATTTATTTATAAGTTTGTTAAAATTGTTTATAAAGTAGGTCCATAGACAATACTTTAAAAAAGTAGAAAAGGAAGGAAGGAGGTCACATAAAATGTGGAGGGGCCCAAGTGGGTGTTATGAAAAATAAGCCTGAGTATAACAAAAATGCAGAGTTTAAAGATTTCTAACCTAGAGCCCTGGATGATTAGAATACAGTTTTCTCTTGCTTCGAATATCTGTGTTTTAAAAAATTATAAATGATCCCAGAGGTCCTATTTTTGTGAGCTCACATAAATGTGGATGAGATGACCTGCTAGCATGAGACCAAAGTAGAACTGGAATTTGTAAAAGTGATAAGGTTGACCTAAAAATAAATGAGCCAACTGGTCAACATTAATATCTGCAAAGGCACTGGCATCCTCCCATATAGGTAGGGATCATGTCTTAAGCCTTTTACTCTTCCTCACAAAAATCAGACATAATGAGTAAGGAATTTTCTAAATAATTAGGGATATATTATAACAATTCACTTGGCAGTATCATTACTTTAAAAAATAGCCTAAACAGATTTTCCCTTTCTAACAAGTGATTCTAAATAATAGAGAATTGGTTTAGGTAAGGGTTTTACTACAGGCCTTCATAGTACTATAATTTTATAGACAGGCAGTTTACTAATGAGCACTGTTGTGCTGGTAAACTGGCTAACAAAACATGACAAAAAAGGGGAGATATCTGATTTGTAGCATGTACCAATCTCTGTGGTGTAAATATCCTTGCCATAGTTTATTTCAAGCTACCCAGGCTTTGACAATAAGCTTTCAAAATCTGTGGATTTTTAACAGTTGGCTCTCCTGAGCCAGTACAAGCTGGCTGTAACACAGCACAGCTCTTACGATTTTACTGTACTGGTGTTGAGTTTCAGGGCTGACTGCCATTCCTTTACTGTTGGACTGACTGTTTACCCTCTCTGGTCCTGAGTTTCACCCTCTTTTTTTTTGTTTGGTTTTTTGGTAGTGGAGATTGTACTCAGGACCTCGCGCTTGCCAGGCAGGTGCTGCGCTGCTGAGCTAAATCCCCGGCCCAAGTTTCACCCTCTTAAATTAAAGGTCCTTATGGCTCAGACATCCCTTATGCTAATCCTTACTTCATAGGCAGTGGTGGTGCACCATGGCATGCATGCCATAGTGGGATGATTGTTATCGCCAAAAGCTCTAAAAGGTTCACCATCACTGTCATAGAGTGTTTGAAGGATTAAATTAAATAATGCATGAGAAAGTATTTTTGCAATCTCCTAACCCTGCTACAGTATGGGCATATGGGCTTTCTTTTCTGCTATAATTGGAAGCTCACCTTGTCTTACATCTACTCATTTTTAAGATCTAGTCCAGATTTCACCTTCTCTGGGAAAACTTTCCTAACTCTCAGAGGTAGAATTTACTACCTTCTGCCTTTCCTATTACTTTCTCTACAGACTTTTGTCTTATCAGTATTTGGCTTTGCTGCATAAAATTGATGCACATATCATGAGATCATGATTTTTTTGTCTGTGTCCATGAGCTGTTTGTATGGTGCTTGGCACATACAGTAAGAACTCAACAGTTCTTTGCTGACCAAATTACTATATTTCATTAGGACACTGGAAAATATGATTCAGTTTGAACCAAGGCTGATGGTATACATCGACTGAGGTGTTCATCTCATTAAATAGTTATTGTCATTGGTTCACTGTCATCTTTGGATAGATTTTCTATTAGGCTGAGTAAAAAAAATCACTGAAATCATCCTGAAATTTTTCATTGACATAAATCAGGGTGGATAGCTAGCTTTGGGGATACCCAATGGAAAAGCAGAATATTCTTATGAAAATAAATTGCAGTCATGTTCCAGTGGGGACAAATTCAAGGTTATTTAGGTTGTAAAGGAAAAATAGATCATGTTAATACCCGTCATTCCATGTAACCAGGGTGGGTAGCCCTGGCCCCTTGGTGATCTTACAAGGCAAAGAGGAGTAAGAGCCAACTGATGGTGACCAGGAATGCATCTAGCTTATCACCAGAACAAATTATAGAACTATAAGCAAGCCCTTGATAGAGGCACTCTTTTTGAGAGTTTTATTTAGTTTGTGGCAACATGGGAAGTTGAAAGAAGTCCAGAGTCAGGGTGTGAAGGCCTACAAAAGCAGAGTGAAATTTTGAGAAAAATTCCAAAAGGAAAAAGGAAGACATAGTTCATAGATTGTTACCTAGCTCTCATTCATTAATACTAATTTCTAAAAACTGTGGAAGAGGGAAGTTTAATGGAATACCACCTACACTGTCATTATTATTGTCTTTGAGGATAAATAATTCAGATACCTCTCACTATGAGAGCAATACACACTCTCTTCCTAAGAAGAGGCCCCTGCTATTTTCTTAAGAGAAAGAAAACAGGGTGGGGTTTTGGTCACTTATAGGCTTTCTCATCTTAGCTTTTAAAATCTAAAGGCTAACAGATACTTCTTTCTCTTCCTGCCTAGACATTTTTAATTACTTAATTAACTAATTAATACTTTACCTTCTTTCAAATAAACAAATGCCAATTCTAAATACACTACCAATGCTGCAGAATTGACTTATATTTTCAAAAATTAGAGTGAAGATAATTTCCTTAAAATTTTTGTCTACTTTTTAATAAATTAACATATAATAATATGCTGAATTTTAAGAATATAGTCCTGGGAGTTTTATAGATCTGGATTTGAATCCATACTCTGCTATTTCTACTTGTGTAAATGGACACAAATTAGCCTCTTTATGCCTGAGTTTTATCATCTGTTAAATGAATACAGGTAATAGTACATTCACATTAGTTTGTAGTAAAGAGGAAACAAGATAAAATTTGTAAATCACTTAGCACAGTGCTTTGCACCTGATCTGTTAAATGAATGAAAGTAGTTATTACACTGTTATTATTTACTCCTCACTATTTTAAGGAGGACCTTGTTATAGAATAGAAACCAGTTAACAAGGAGCAAATGAAGTTGTTAGTATATATTGTGATAAAGGATACACCAGTGTGCCGTGGACACGAAGGAGAGAAAGTTTATGGATAAAGTCCTGTGTGTCACAAAATGTCTGGGTCACAAATGAAAGAGTCTAAGGTAAGGAATGCCATAGCGCAATGTTTTAGGTTGGCTACTCTGGCAGAAGTGTGGAGATGCATCGGAGAGGGCTGAGAGGAGACCCGGGAGGATGACACTGGGGGCTTTTGATGTAACTAAAGTAATCAGGCAGTAGTAATAAGATTGGAAAGAAGAGGAGAGTAAAATGAGATATACTATAGACAAAGCAACAGAATTTATGGATGGTTGATGCCAATCAAGTTATATATGGAACATTTTTGCTTTTCTTAGAACATTGTAAAAATGTTAGATTAATAAAATGACCTAAAGTATTAAGTATATACCAATTCACAAATTCATGTTTCCTTTTTCTGAAGTTTTTTTCTGTACCTTATCTCCCACCTCCGAGGTGCCTTCAACATTTCCAGAAATTTTAATTATAGAGACCAGGAAATGGTTTGGATACTAAATCCTCCAGCAAAAAGATGAAAGCAACTGCTATTATTTAACCAGGTGAGCAGAAACATGGAGGAGGGAAGAGAATTCCTAATAATGCTAAAGCTTTTGATGAGGGCTCCCTATAAGAGGTTATGATTACTGTGTCGGGCTGGAGAAATATCCAGGTTGTATCTGTGGTCCAAGGCACATTTCTGTGATCACTTTTCCACTTGGTCAGATAGTTTTCCTCCAGTGTGATTTTGGGAGGGTACTCGGGGCTAGACTGACAAATACACTTATTTATCCAAACAGTAAGTGCAGAGGGTCTTCCACATGCCAAACACTGGGGATATAGAGGTAGCCAAGGCAGACATATTTGTTGAACTCAGGAAGTCATAGTCCAAATGGGTCACTAGACAGATATTGATAAAAATTATTGACTAATGGTGTTATGATCATTGTCCTGAATGAAGAAGACAAGGTGCTATGGGAGTGATTCGGCAAACCAGGAAGTCAGCGAAAGGATTCCTGAGGAAGTTAAAAATTAAGCTGAGATCTGAAGAATATGTCGGAATTAGCAAGGCAAAGAGGTGGAAGAAGATGGTTCTAAACGGAAAATAGCATGTGAGCTAGCACAAGAGATTCAGAAAGACAGACTAGAAAGTTGGAAGAAAACCAGGAGAATGTGAAATTATGGAAGCCAAAGAATGTACCAGTTAGGAAAAGGAGACTAGGACCCTATGTATCAAATGCTGCTGGCTATCAATTGCAAAGAGGAATTAACATTGTCCATTGGATTTAGTGAAACTGGCAGGCGTGGAAACAGATTTTTGTGGGGGCTTTATTTAAGATAAAGAATACAAAATTATAAATATAAAATTGGGTATGAAAATGAATATTTATTTAGAATGAGAAAAGACCCCCCCCCCCCCGCCAGACTGTAATATTTGGAGTTGCTTTTTTCTTCCTGAAATTTCTTTAGGCTGTTTACCAGAAATACCTCTTGATTGCAACTCAGCTTCTTCTCCTCACCTAAAATACTTTAGGACTCCCACACACTCAAGGGCTCACACAAATGAGGAACTTTGAAGCTCTATCTGCCTCTGATTTCTGGTGGACTTTGGGTGCAGTTTTATAGTCATGGTGGTAGAAAAGTCAGAGAGCTGATAACTAATGGGAAATGAGGAACTAAGAGGAGAAATTTGAGTGTAAGGGAGAGAAGAGAGATTGGTTGGTAGCTGAAGCGTTATGTGGAGCCAAGTGAGGAATATTGGGGGAAGTTAAATCGGAGATTCTGAGTATTTTAAAATAAAGATGGGAGGGAAGAGATGGGATCCAGAGCAAGTGTGGAGAGATGAGCTTTGGGTAGAAATGAGAATTAATCTGTTGGAATAGGAGAGAAGCGAAGATGAAGTCAATAAAGGGGGGTTTGTAAATTTGGTGGTGGAAAAAATCTCTTCCATTGCCATATATTTTTTTAGCAGTGAGGGAAAAACTGTCTGGAAATAGACTATGGAGAAGAGGAAGGGGTATAGGGAAATGGAGAAGGTTTTAAATAGTTGCAGCATGAGAAAAAAAATTTACTAGAGAAATGGAAAGGGACTGCTAGCTAACATTCCCTGTGAGAATTGTAGTCACGAGATTAACATGAAACTAATCAACTTTTTAGGTGGTTTTCTGCATAATCAAGGTACTTCAGTATAGACATACTGGATTCATCCAGATTTGAGACTTTTACAAATAGATAATATGGAGGGAGAAAATTTAGAATATTTTCAAGGAATGATTATGATGAATCAAGGAATCTAAGCTTAACAAGAAGGAAAACAGCCTCATAGGGCGGGTGATGAATTATGTTTAGAAGCCAAGGAAATCCAAGACTGTTGATATGGGAATATGCAGTAGGGTCACACTGGCCATCATGGCATCCCTCATGGCAGTGACGGCACTGGCTTGCAACAGTCCAATCCTTCTCATGTTACTGATATCAGACAAAAGTGTTCCAGGAAGCCTCTAAGAAACACATGATAAAGAGCCATGCTTGAAATTTTAAGGTTGTTCACTTTGTGATCCTGGCATATTTCAGGTGTAAGAGTGGGTTAAAGGAGGGCCCACTAAGGTGTGTCAGCCTCCTGGGAATGTACTTTGTCCAAAAGAAAGAGCAATGTGAAGGACGGTGGCACGTGCCAATCAAGTGGGTCAGTGATGAAAGGCAGGAGTGCTCTGAATTCAACAACAGTAGTCAGGGCCCATTCCCAAGAAATTCCGGATTTGGAGGAGAAGGCTCTGCAATATAAACAGTGAGTGGAATACAGGGAACTGTTTGCTAAAGTCTCTGACACCACTAGGACACAAGGCAGTAAATTACCTTTGTAATAGAAAATAACACAGGGGAGCAAAAGTAACCTTTCAGAATTAATTATATTAACACAATAATTATTATTAGAACAGAGGGTTGAATTATTATTGCAGGAGTTCAAGAAACAAAATTTTGTAATTGTAGGCAGGGGTGGAGCTGTGGAATTTTGTTTATATGGTTATGGTTATGGCTCAGTGATCTCTTAAGGAACCCAGTTTCATGTGACAGATGTTTTTCTGTGCTAAGATCCACAAATTAAGGTCATACCAGAAAACAATGACAGGAAAACCCAGAAGAGCTTGTTTAGTAATCAGTGCCATTTCTACAACCTACACAGATTCTTGCAGGGCTTGGATATTTAATTTGATTTTATTGATAAAATGGAAAGATGACTACATAAGGGATTAGAGGTACTCTTTTAAGAGTTTCTTTCTTTGTTTTTTTATAACTAAGCAAAAAATGTACATAACTTCCTATGTTTTATCAAGAGCACTATATCAAGAACCTCCTTTGGATATCTGCTGGTCTCTGTCTCCTTCTCTACACGCTCATAAATGCTCCCTTGGTCACACAGCTGCAAGGGTCCTTCAAGTGACCTAGTCAGACTTCTCTTATTTTACAAGTGATGAAACTGAGGCTCTGAAGGAGAACCAAGATGTCCGATTAGTATGCAATCTAGAACTTGAGTCTCCTCACTCCTTGCTCATGCCAAAGGCACAAATTCCCCACATAATTAGATGTGAAGCTCAAAGCAAGAAGCCTTCATGTGCCTAGGGATCTGAAAGAGGAAAGAGCTCACCCTTTTCCTTTTAGGTAGGACTGGTAATGGAGCTCTCCAAGTTAAAATGAAAAAGAAAAAAAACCCCTGAGGGTCTGGTCCGTCACCTGTAGCTGGGCTGTTGCAGCAAGCATCTTCTGCCGGGTTTGCAGCACTGTGGATGAGGACATTGAAATAGGTACACTTTGCCTCAGCCACCTTATGTCTTCCCACATACAAGACAGCTGCAAAAGAAGTCACAAGATCATATCATTGTCCAAGCCAGAACATGATTTAGGTTGCAGCATCAAAGCAAAGCAGAGAGAAGGAAACTTGACCCCTGAAGTTTGTTCTCCAGTCCATTTTCAGATACAGGCGAAACAACTTTTTGATCTCTGTCCAATTGGAAAAAGATCTGAATGCTAATGAAACAGTCAGATCCACATTTTAGTCTTTGCCAAATGATCCCATAACTCACAGTACTGGAGACACAACCTGACAGAATGCAAGCTTCCTTCTTTGAAAATGTAGTGTACACATTATTCTGGCATGTGTGCAGGGTGTCTGTGTGTGTGTGTGTGCGCGCGCGCGCGTGTGTTCAATGACCGGGTATATTAGGGCTTCAAGGAACCCTTGAGCTAATTTACTTCCACCCCAAAACTTTAATCATTAGAAACCTCTCAACTAAGGTTTTATAGATTTATGTGCAGTAAGATCGGTACCAAGTGGGGAAAAATGAAACTCAGAACTTAGTATACCTTGGTGAACCACAGAAAATCTTGTGTAATGGAACTGGTGTGAGAGTCATCTATCTCAACGATTGGTATTTGATCTTCATTTGTGACTAACATATTGTCTTTGTAGTAAAATACAACGGCTATGTAGAGTCCCCTAGAAAGATAAAACAAAATTTAAAAATTGTCCTCAACTGTTTCCTCTTCCAAACTTGAGTCCTGGAAAAAAACCAATTTTTTGGATGTAAAAAACATAAATTTAAAATATACCTAGAAACATATTCCTGCCTTGTATCACGAGTTCACTGGCTAGAACTCAGAGAAATTACTGTTTTGCCCAGATTCTCAGGATGCATTCCTTTAATAAAAAAGAAATTTCTACCAAGTTTCCACTCAGAATCAAAACCAACTAATTCCCGAGAAGTTAACACTTCCTGGAAAAACTATATAGGACCCACCGTTTTAAGGTCTTCACAAACTTGTTTGAAGAATGGAATAGGTGTTTCAGGCTTCTTGATACTGACTGCTTGCGGCCTGCGGTTTGTAATTTTGAACTTTCTAGAACAGAAAAAAATGTAAATTTAATTTGACAGATCCTTTTTCTTTCCTTCCTGCTTTCCTACCCCTGTCCCCTCAGTATCATTCATCAGTTTCAGGTGGGATTCAGCTCATTCATTTGTAGAAGAAGCTCTGATACCTTAAGATGCTAGTGGTTAACTCAGTTAATGAACAACTCCTCAAAAATGTTGGAGATGAGTAATATTAATAATTCCAAGGGAAACAACTTAGATGTTTTATCGATACTCTTAGGTTGAGTGATTTATCAAAAAGGACAAAAAAAAAAATGGAAGCAATTCTTTTACCCTCCTTTTCCTTCCCTCAATTGCCTTTTAATAGTCACACAGTTCTCAGTGCTGCCAAGTTCCCCTGGTTAGTCTACATATTCTATTAAATTATTTTCATTATAAAATTAATATAAGCATATTATAGAAAGTCTCAGGCACGAAGGAAAAAAAGAACAAAACTCCACCAATATTATCACATCACTTTGTACAACCACTACTAGAATTCTGGGGCATTTTTTTCTAGTATGTATGTTGGCCTACAAACATAGTTGTAGGGATAATATGATTATCATGCTCATTATCCAGAGAAGAAACTGAAACTGAGGAATGAAACAGATTGTCCAAGTTTGCAAAGTCAGGAAAACTTGAGACATTCATTTAGTGAATATTTTTATGGGGGGGTTGCTATGATGTAGACTCCTCTTTAGCCATAATAGTAAACAGTTCATCCCTTGCTTCTGTTCAACTCTTCTGTTTACAACCAGGAACTCTCACTAATAAAAGTAGTAGAATTCCTAGACTCCTGTCGTAGTCCCTGCAATCAATGGAGCTGGACTGAATGATCACTGATTTCAACTCTTATGTTCTGTGTCATGAAGGGAAGCTGAGGTTGTTGGTGTCATCATGAAACTTCAGACAGACTTGCCACTGTGGCTGAGAACAGGGCTCATATCACTGCTGTTAGGTATAGAAACCTGGGCAGATGGCCCATGGTTGAGGCCCAATAGAATTCTGCCTGTGATCTATAAGAGTAGCTGACAAGACACAAGCATTCATGCCAGTTTCAAGCTTGTGCCGGTAATGACTATTGCTGGAAAAAAGAAAAAGATTTTTTTCCCTAACTTGAACATGAATTTGGCTGCTTGAAAATGATGCTGGTGGGACTTCCGGTTAAATGTTCCATAGTAAACATATTCACTGTTTACTATTCTCACCATAAACCTGGCTAAAACCAGAGTACAGGTTCAGGGAACAACATAAGTCTATAAAGACATGTCGATGGGGAAGAAGAGAAACACAAATAAATTTTGGTAGCTGGAAAGCAGATGGACAGATGGATTTAGCAGATTTGAGAAAGATGAAGCCTAAACCAGCAGTAGAGAAAACTGAGAAGTAATCTGATTCACCCAATGAACACCATGGGCTGCTGGAAGTGGAGGGTGTACATGGTGCAAAAATCTGAAAGATTTATTGAAATCTATTTAAAAAGGAGTGATATTTCTAGGTTTCCTCCCCTACTGCACTACTTCCCCACTCTAGGTGAAAGCCAATGGCTTATTCTCTGGGAAGGAAAAACAAATAAAACAATTCAAAACCAACCAAAACCCATAACAAAACAAGACCTTCTAAAGAAAATAAAACAAATGAACAATAACAACAACAACAACAACAACAACAACCACCACCACCCGGGTCTCTGGAGTGGGAGGTAGGAAATGAAGTAATGATGGTGGTGGTACCGTATCAAAAACAGATGGACTAAATGAAAATTTCCATACATAACACTTTTTCTTATTGGGTTCTCCAAACACTGGTAGCAAACTTATACACTAGAAGAAACTTCCATGTAGAATTTGGCTAGCCTCAGAGAATACACCCAAAGATTCTGACATTGGGGATTTCCCAATAAAATGCTAGTTCCAGTTCACCCTGTAGTGAAGGCCATAAATTGCTTTATCCATGTGAACTGGGCTCCCCAAAGACTGTTGATTTCTCTTAAATCTGAGAAAATATCTAAGCATCACTAGGCGTATGAAAAGTACATCAAACATGAAATACAAATAAGCAGAAGAACAACACAGAGGAAAGATTACACTGAAAAAAATATCAAAATAAATAAACGTCTATCATTAATATTCTGAGAGTTAAGATATTTCATCTTAAGAGCATAGGCATCTATCTAAAGAACCAATCATAGAACAAAGAGAGCATTGAGAATTAAAAATGTTTTCAAAACTTAAAAATCCAGTGGAAGAGTTAGAAAATATAGTTGAAGAGTCTCCAAGTAAGTGGAGTAAAAGGAGATGAAGATGGAAAATAGAAGGAACAAGGAAAAATAAAAAATTAAAGGACTAGTAGGTGATCAAACATCTGAATAATAGGCGTTTATTATGACAGAGGAGAGGAAAAGAATAAAGAAATAACTTTAAAAATGTCCCACAATAGAAGGGTACAGACTTCTATATTGAAAAGGACTTGCCAAGTACCCAGTAAAACAGACAACAGATAACATATCACAGAGGAAATTGTAGAATATTGTGATAAAAAGAAAACTGAAAACCTTCCAGGGAGGGAGGGAGGGATGGAGAAAGAGAGAGAGAGAGAGAGAGAGAGAGAGAGAAAGAAAGAAATTAGAACTTCTGGAGTCAAAATGGCGTCAGACTCCTCAGCAGTAGAAGCTAGAAGACATCAAGCAACACCCTCAAAATTGGAAGGAACATTATTTCCACTGAGAATTCTTTACTTGTCCAGACCCTGAATAAATATTAAATAAAATAACATCTCTTTAGACATATAATAAGCTGCTGTGCACTCTCTCAGGAAACTGCAAGAGGAAAGACTCTATCACAATCAGGGACCAACTGAAGAAGGAGGAAGACATGAGATGCAAAAAGAAAGACACCAATATTGGGAAATTATAAGAAGAATCCTCAATTTTGTGGTGAAAAGCAACCACAGGGTGACAGCTGTGTGCAAGGCATGAAGGCAACAGTCACCTGTCTAGATGGAGCAGGGCAGATGCTCCATGACAGTTACTCAGGAAGGTGCAGTTGAAACAATACCCAATGTATCTGATTATATTGACAGAAGATCGATAAAAGTGGAGAGGAGTCTGGAGATTATTACAACTGCATAGTAAATGCTTAGAGCATAGGGAGTTTATTTTGTTCATATTGGTATGTCTGGCACCTGACACATAATAGGCAGTATTTCTGTTAATGTTATCTTGCAAGCTGAATAACTGGATGATAGTTGAAATTCAGTCCTATAGGACACTGTTTTGGTGAAAACAACTGGCTTTATAATTCATTATGTCAAGGGCATGAATTGTGTGAACAGTGAAGTTCGTTGATATTTCCCTTTAGTTGTCATCCCAATACTGAGTATGTAAATTAGCTGTGGCTAGTTCTTTGGTCAAAATGCAGATAATTATATGGGTTTTGATATTGTCTATCTAGGGGTTTGGTGAGAGAAGAGATATTTTATTAATGTTTCTGTATTTAGAATATGCTATATATTCAGTGGAGTCATTGATTACACTTTAATTCTAGAGTATATATGTATCACTAACAGAGCACTGAGGATGGAAATTGGCCCAAATTCTCATTTGGAAGAACAATGGAAGAAAAAGAAGCTAAGGTTTTTAAGAGGCTTATACTGAGTCAGGCAAGTGTAATCCATTATCTAACTTAATCCACATAACAACACTGCAAGTTAGATATTTTTTCATTCTTTAGAGAATACTTTATTAGTTTCTGTAACCAAATCCACATAGATAAGACCTTACATACTTAATATGGTGTGTTATGTCTGTCCAAATGGAAAAAAATAAGTTTAATGTTTCTAGACAAGTATAGCTGTTAATTTTTCTACAATGCCAACTCAACATGGTAAACTGGGATAACTTTTCCAAACTTTACAGCACAGAGAAAGTTTCCCAAAACTGATTATATATATATAAATATATATATATATATGCATACAATTATAGTATGCTATGCACCAATAGCAGCAACAGCCTTCCCAGGTTCTGCAGTCATCTAAACAAAATTATAGAGACATCCATTACACTCCATTAAAAAAAAAAAAAGAAAGAGGGCTGGGAATTTAGCTCAGTGGTTCCGCTGCCTGCTTCACAAGCGCAAGGACCCAAGATCAATCCCCGGCACCAAAAAAAGAATTAAAAAAAAAAAAGAAAGAAAGAAAGAAAAGAAAATTAACAAAACCCAGAAAACAACAAAGTTCTATTACTGTTGTGGTACCTGGCACCAAACAAGGTAGATATTATTATCCTGATTTTTTTTTTTTGGTGAAGAAGTTGTAGCTCACAGAGGTGAAATACTTTCTCCAAGGAGATACAGCTAATAAATAGGAGAAATAGGACTTTAAATAGTTATTTTTTCTAATTGTAAAATTTATAAAGGCATATGTCTTCAATAAATCACATTGTATTTCAACGCAGTTGCCTGTTTGTTTGTTTGTTTGTTTATTTATTTATTTATTTTTGCGGTACTGGTGATATCGAACCCAGAGTACTGAGCTATGTCCTTTGCCATTTTAAATTTTGAGACAGGGTCTTGTTAAGTCATTAAATTGCACAAATTGGCCTTGAACTCATGATTTTCTTGCCTCAGCTTCCTGAGTAGCTGGGATTACAGGCATGCGCCAGCAGGCCTGGCTTAATGTAGTTGAAGAGCTTAAATAACAATTTTATAGTTTTCTGTGAGAAATACACTATTTTACTTTATCTTTTTAAACTTAGAGTTGCATTAATTCATTTTAGAATTATTCCTTTTTTTGTGTGTGAAGCTAATTTATTTTTTGTGTGTGAGCTAATTTATTTTATCTTGACAGATAATAGGTCAGGATTTCCCAAAGTTTGTGCCTTGGAATACTAATTCTATAAAAATTTTATATGGCTAAAGAAATTTAAAAAATGCTTCCTTAACCAAATTGACGATGTCTCTTTATTAGAGTCTTTAGTATTCTAGTTTTTATTTTACAATTCCAAGAGAGGGATGAAGAATGAATTATTTCCTAAACTTACTCACAAGAGAACCACTTACAGCTGAGCATCTTGTAGGACTATTGTTCTTTGTTGTTGTTGTTGTTTTTTGTTTTGGTACTGGGGATCGAACTCAGGTCCTTGTGCTTTTGAGGCAGGCGCCTGGCTTGCGAGGCAGGCGGCGGAACCACTGAGCTAAATCCCCGGCCCGGACTGTTGTTTTTTGGAACACACTTTGGGTATCGTGTAAGTGTTCATAGTATATTTTAATATAAACATACTCCTCCTTTTTTGGGAAGCTCTATCTTAGGCTTTACTTAAATCTTTCTTAACATTGTGTGTACATTTAAATTTCTGTGAGGAAAAGCATGTAGATGCCAGGAGTTGAATGGAAACTATAGAAATAATTGGATGGGCTAGGCAATCATTTCCTAATTATTATATAGCAATCCAATAGTAATAGAGGGTGCTTCTGAACTCTCAGAAAATATATTTTTTAAAATCCCCCATTCTCATGTGCAGTTTTAGGTTTTCCCCTCAGATAAGGACCAAACACAAAGTAGTTTCTGAATTGCAAAGAATCATCTGTCCAGTTGCTTGATTACCCTTGCTTCCATACAGGATCCCACAGGCAAGGGAGTGATGGAGAGACAGAAGAAAAAGGAGCCCAGCCTGGTTCAGTGAGAGTGAGTCCTGGGTAACTGTAAACTGCAGATACTTCAGTCAGTGTGGAATGTCGATAGTTCAGGCTTGGGTAAAGTCTTCCTAGAGATATGGGAATGAAAATCCCACTTGGGTTTCCTTCTCAAGCTGCTTACATATTTACATCTCTTAATGAGCCACTCATTAGAAGAACATTACTGTCTTGCAAACACTTGTCCTCATTTCTAGCTAGAGCCAACATTTCTGAAGGGCCCTGTTGTCACAGCTATACAGTAATTGGGAACACTTTTTGTTAATGCTAAGCATGATTTAGACCTAGTCCAAACACAGCTAGCATAGCATCCCTCAGTTCCCACCATGGCTTTCTTACCCAGCAGACCTAGCAGTACCCCAAATCTAGAGAGTACAATGTATTTGAAGATCTGAAGGCAGCATGGAAAAATGGAAACTTTATGGAGGTTTTAATTCTGCAAATAAAACCAAGTGCCTCTTCCATGAATCATTACCCAGATCAGAAATCTGAGGCCATCCCATCTGAACAGCCTAAGCAGCGGAGCAGCTTTTAAAACTGTCTCAGCGATTCCCTGGGTTCCATGAACTAAAATCCACAGGAGGTGTGCTCTACTTTCCCCTAAGCAGGGAAGGGAGGAGGACTAAAATTCAGAGTAAGTTTAAAGTACAGTGTCCAGTCTTGATGCGTGGCTGCAAGACAGAAATGAGGGATGGCAGGAAGACTGGAATTGGAGCCAGAAACAGGTCAGAGTCAAGATTCTGTCTTTCCCTGGCATTGTGACCTTGAGCAAGTCCCTTAGCTCCAGCTAAAACTGGCAAACTGAGGATGAAAAGGAGATACTTGATGTGCAATTGCTTTGTAAACTATATTATAAATAGATCTGATGGCTTGTTATTATTGTTGTTGTAATTGTTTCAACTCCCTCAGGGATGCTGAAAGAATTTTCCTTGGGGGTGAAAATGTTAAGGGTAAATATCCCCTGAAGTCCCAGCATCACAGAGTCCCACGAAGGGACAATTCAAACAGAAAGGAACTAAAAATGGCAGCTGCTGTTTTTCTTGTGCTTATTTTAAAACTGTTATCATGGAGAGAAGGAGAGAGAAAAAGAAAGGAAGGGAGGGAAGGCTTTCCTGAAGGGTTAAAGCAAGATAGTGCTGTAAAGTGATTCCAGATGTACAAATATTAATATCTCTCTCCCCCTGATGAATGAGAAGGTATGACCCAGCTAGGAAACTGCTAAAATTACCGGCGCCACGGAGACCTCAGCCATGGCCCAGTGCAGATTCTTATCCTTACCCCGGCAACTGTAATGCTGATGAAGGGCTCGGACCTGCTGCAGCAGACTCTCCAGAACTTCATTCTGTCCCTTGTGTCTGGGCTCTCTGTCATCACAGTCTTTCCAGTCTATTGAACAAAAGAAACAAACAGAGGAAATTTTAAAGCAGGGGAGGCCTCTTCCCTGCCCTGCCTCAGGAGTTGAGGTTTCGCCTCAGGAGGCATACTATCCACAGACTCCATGGATGAGCACCCAACACACGCAGAGCTGGCAGGCAATGCCAAGTATTTGGAAGCTGCCATTGTTCAGAGTCTTGTGCAAAACAGTAATTGTGGTTGATTTCTTGTGTTGGGCGGTTTTAGAGAAAGAGAAAATAGTAATTGAAAGCCAAAAGAAAATAGAAAATCTAGGAGTCCGGTCTCTCCTCTCCCAGCCCTGCTCCCCTTGTCAGTGTCCCATGTCCAATCAGTTCCCTGGTCACCTTTCCACTCAGCACCCCAAGTCTCCACTGGATTTCTACAGTAGGAAAGAAAAGGGTGGGAATGTGCAGACTAGATGAAATCCACAGTCCCAATGCTTTTATTGTAGGTTTCACACTTTTGGCCAAATTGACATTTCTTTCCAAGGAAAGAGCCTATGTCACATGCCAAGAAATGGAAATCTACATTTTGCTCAAATGAATGTCTGCTTTGGTTAGCTGGCACAGCGATCCCTGCACATACTCTGAGCCACCAACCACCCTGTCTGCTCAGTCTCTAAATATACAGTATTAGCTTACATGGCGAATTTAAATTGCAATACCCACTGAGATTTTTTTCTACCCCTTCTATTTTCATTCCATTTGGCTATAATGATATCAAGAGTAATAACTCATATGGGACTAATGTCAAGATTGCAATTCTGCTGTCTCCAACTCTGAGTTCTTTTCAGCAGGTCAGTCATTTCATTGTCCACCTCTTTTCTCCTCTATTTTCCCTCCTCCAATTTTCCTTTCTGAACCTTTAAAATGCAAAAAACTTAAAGTGCTTCTTAAAATGCATTCTTTAAGAATATTAGTCATTCTTCCACAGAAAATCCCGTTAGTTCACAAGTGTATCTTGGACTTAAATTTTAGCTAAATAAGTTTTAAGTTCTCTCTCCAACAGATTTATTTTAAAATTTGGAATCTTCTTCATTCAAAAACTTAAGCATATGTAATACCTGTTAAAGACAGGTAAGAACATTTCATTTTGGTTCATCCAAAGCCCAGGAATAAAGTGCATTTAAGAAGAACACAGGTTCTGGAGACAGAGACATCTGGGTGTGAATCCTAGGTCTTCTCAGTCCTGGCTCATTGTCTGCTTACATTAACAGGGCCTCTACTCCCTAACTTGAAAAACGAGGATAGTATCTACTTGTCAGATTTTTATGAGAATTAAATAAAGAGGTATATTAGGTATCTGGCACAATGCTTATTACATGACAGGTATTTTATAAATAATAACTTAGAGTAAAGCCAATTCATTATGGAAACAATTTTTTACACTGTCAACAGGTCACCTATGAAAATAGGGCCCTCAGAGATTTTCTAATTACCTTTCCTTCTCACTCTCTTCTATGTATAGTTCTCTATTTTACCTTTTGGAAAATGGAGGCCCAGAGACAACCATTCCAATCCTGTCTTGCTTGTAACATAGTCTAGTGACCATCCATAGGGTGGTCATGCTCATTTCATTATATCAGGGACATTTTTTTTTTTCCTTTTGGGAAGGAAGGTCAGAATCTTGGGTGGAGTTTGAGTGGCAGGGCTTAGGTGTGGTCAAGTCTGGAGACAGAGAATTGGCAGAGGTGCCTTTTGTAGACTATTTGTTCCTTGTGGGCAAGAACCATGACTTAATCTCTCTTTATTTCATTTTTCTTCTTGGTAACAGTGTGATTTAAAAATCTCTTTTTTAGGTTATGTGAGATTTAAAAGAAATAATGTAAGTAAAGCACCATTCTGGCACTTAGGAGACACTTACTAGATTCTTGGTGGGTATCAGGAAAAGAAGTGTGATGGTATCCAGTAGGCTGGACTAGGGAGGGATTTTTACTGGGAAATTTGGAAAAATTTGGGGAAATAACTCCCAGTGGCTCTTTGACTAGTTGTAGTGCCCCTCACCTCAGCACAATAAGAATAAAAATTGCCTTCTTGGGTCCCCAAAGGCCATTATTGGTTTGTTCTTGTGGATGCATGCATCTGAAGTGTGGATAAGATGAGCAAGGAGTAAGACTCTTGGGTGACTACATGGCCATGAACATGCTAATACATCCTAATGAGTGTTAATGCTGCCACCAATGAAAGGGGAGATGAAATGGGCTTGGCTTTTAAAGCTGAGCCCTATTACATCAAAGGGCAAGCTTGAGCTGATGACTTTACGATACATTAGAAAATTGCTAATGCTAAATAGCAGCCCATGTGAACACCAGACACGATGCAAAGGTTTTTGGAAAGAATGAGTTTTTCTGGTAGCTGTTTGGAAGGCTCTGATCACTACATAAAATAGGAGACTTTAGGGATGAGGGAGAGAATTGAAAATATATTAAGAAATCAGGAATCTGACAGGAGTAAACTTAGCATGGTAGGAAAAGAGCAGATTGTGCCACATAATACGGTTCACTGTTCTGGTAATGAGACACTTCAGCTGCAGTACAATGCAGAGCTTACATTCACCGGCCATATCAGGGTTTTCCTGATCGTAACTCAGACAAGCCTGTCTGGGTGCTTTTCTCTTATTATGTACCATACCGTATAAGTCTTTAAAAACACATTAAGGCCTTTTGTAAAAATATAAAAAGTTTTATAGCTTACTGGAACATATTACCAAATTTCCAATTACTCTGTCATGTTAGAATACATTGTCCCCTAGTAAATATCTGACTACTGATATATGTTACATCACAATGTCATACTCTGTTTATACATAGAATGGGAGCATTTTTATATTGTTCTTTCTAAGTGATATGGCATGTCTGCAACAAGTATCACCATATGTTAGGATTTCATTTCTTTGTCAGTTATACCTACTAATCAAATATACTGTTTGAGAAAGCATTGCTATTTAATGGTAATTATCAATATATCAATGATTCCTCCAAGTCCTGAACAACTGTTCTTGTCATTCTGGACAGTTATAAGATGATGTCTGAATAGAATTTACAGTTTATTGAACCTGAACATCTGACCTTTAAAAGTAAATGCATCCATATGCAGATCAGAAATTGCATGGGATATGCATTTTGAGTGTGTTCCCTCCTGCTTCACTTTCAGGTCAACTGAGACTAGTATTTGTGTGTTTTTCTTCATACTTTCTGTCTCTCCATCTCCAATAATACACACTTTCTCCTCTCCCAATGTGAGTGGTTCCCTTAGTATCTTAATTTTGCAATTCATTTGCATTTCTGATAAATCTTCACTAATAAAGATGTCCAAATAAGTGAAAGCCTATAATACATTCATAGTTGATATTGGATTCATAGTTGATATTAGATATTGTTATAAAATGTAAAAACTCTATACACCCATGAAATAGAATATTAAAAGAGCCTATAATCTCATAACCCAAATGTCCATTGTAAAACTGTAAAAATTATCAAGACATACAGACACACCCTTCCTAATTATAGGTGAATCAATACATGGAAACCCCCCACCATTTGCATTTTTTTTTTACATAAAATTTATGCTGTAGAAATTTCTTCCACACAATGAATGGCTTTATGAAGTACCATTGTGGTAGTTGGGTTTAGTTCTACAGTATAAATATGAATATATTTTTATCATACCTAGCTTTAAATTAATATTGAATAATTCTTCCCATGACACATGATATTTCACTATTATCAATTTACTGCTGCAGTATACATCTTTGTACATAATTGCTTATCTGCATCTCTGTTTCCTTAGGTTAGAGTCCTAGGTGTGTAATCATGGGGTAAAAGGAAATAGATTTTCTTAAGACAGTTGATACAATATGGCACACTGTGTTCCATAAAGGATATAGTAGTTTTTACTCTCACAAGAAGCATATAATACCATTTTAAACTTTCATATTAGTGACTTTTTAAAAAAGATAAAAACAGAATCCAGAGCAGTGGACTCATTACAAAGACAAATCTATCATATTATCTGTCTAGAAATGTTTGCTCTGGTTAATTACATTTTCGGGATAATAGTTACCAAACATACCAGGAATAAATTATTAAGCTTCAAATAATTTTTCAGTCAGCACTATAAATGTTCTAGATTATATTTTTTGCAGAGTGCCTATTCATAGGAAAGCTTTGCTTCTGGTTAATAAAATTTGTTAGGTTTTGTTCTGTGTAACAGATGTGATGTACCCCTTGTATCTTCTGAGGGCAAGGAAAGGAAGACCAGGGCTAAAATGGACTGTGAACTCTGGCCCAGCCACTCCCACAGAGTCCCCACTCCATTCTTATGAAGGCCTAGGAAAGAGTAAGACTAGATACACTCTGCAGATGTTGACTGGAAGCTCTGTGAGTTTTAGTAACTTCTGAGAAACTTTGATAAAAAGCTATAACGACCATTAAGTTCAGGCCTTTTTTGTTCCAAATTCCCTCTCCTTCCCCTCCAGTGAGCCGCCTTCCTGTGACCATATTTACAAAGAAATCATTCATTTTGTGGCCCAGATGCTGCCCTGTGGTCTTGTGGACTACAAGCAGTGGGAGAAGGGAATGGCAGTGGTGCTTGGAGTCGGAGTCTGTTGACCTGCTGGAGAGTAGAAACCACTTACTAGAAGGAGAGGCACAGGTGGGTGTCGTGGTCTGAGCAGGGCCCCACCCTTTCATGTTATAAGCCGAGACTTGAACGAAATACTGTTGTCCCTGTGAAGAATTGAAATAGATAACACATCAGGCATTTTAATTGATTAGTTTTGCCCTAGAAACAGATCTTGCTTTAGCTGATCAACTTACTTTAGAAAATTAACAAGCTATAATAAATATCTTTTCAAGTTAGTGCTTTAAAAACCTGCCTCATTCCTTTACTGGCTGTGTAGTACTTCACTGTATCAAATGCCATAATTTATTTAGCCAGTTTCTCATTGGTGGACATTGGACTGTTTCCATTTTGTGCTACAATAAATAATGCCGCAATAAATGAACATCATTCAGCTGTTCAAGCATTCAAAAAAGCTAATTCTTTGATATGACATCAATTTTACAGCCATTATTAAAACAATGCTTATACTTTCATTTTTTATGATATTAAGAAATCAGGAGCTGTTTTTGTTTGCTGAAAATCTTTTAAAGTGTTTTTTATGGTTTTACTTATTGCTTTGATGGTTTTTTCTTTTTCCTAATGAATGCAAAGGGGCTTTGGAGAAGCCAGCATATGAAGAAACATTGCTTGCAAACATTGTAAAATGGTATTTGAAGTTAAAAAAAATAACAAATCTTTGCAGAGCCTTTGCTAGGGATTTAATAATATTGGCTTTAACAATATTATGAAGTTAAATTTTTTTTCTAATATTGAAAATGGGTTTCTATGCAGCCCAAGGCTATAGGGATTTTGTAGAAGTGTAAATCTACTTTCAGGCTTTTATATGATTAGTATAGTGTCTGCATTGCTCTTATTGGATGGCCAAGTGGAAAAACTTAATCCCTGTAGAAATTAGTTCAGATATTAGCGAAACCGTCTTTGGAGAGTTTTCCATTTTTATCACCATATCCCTTTTTCTTTTAAGCAATGGAAATTCCCTAGGGTTCTTTCTGGCCCTGTTCCATCATGTGAGCCATAGGGTTGGAATTAGTCTTCTGCTGATACCATCTCAGGGGGCCACCCACTCAGGGGCTTGTTTGCTCTGCTAATCCACAGTTCTGGCCTCTGGTGTAGACATGCGATTAGGACTAAAAGTCAGGATTCTTGGTGATGACCCAAACACCAAGAATTCTATTAAATAAGCTGGTTCAAGCTTGGAAAGATGCAACCCAATGCAGCTTTTCAATGCTAGGTTTCAGGATTATATCTTACAGATAACTGTTTTAATTCACTAATCTTTAAGAAAATAACAGCAGCAAAGTTTTCCCTCTCACTTTCTCCATATAAAGGTTTTAGAATATTATTTAAACTGAACAAAAAATTGTTTTAAGTTCTCCTTAAAAAGAGTTTGATTAAAAAGGATTTTTTATCTTTTGCTTTGTAATTGAGGACATACAGGTTTCGTTCCAGTTTGAAGTAATTTACTAGGTGCTTTTGATTTTGGTATTTCTCATGTTCATATGATTCATAGTTCCACAAATAATTACTCTTTGAATTTAGATTGGTTAAATAAATAAACATGGTTTGTTCTAGTTTTTCATTTACAGTTTAAATTGTTTTAGGTTACTGAGAAATGTAGCTCCACAATGTATAGTTTCTTTTTTTGTGTGAAAGCAGATTTAGACAGATTTTTTTTCCCTTTTTAATCAAGGGAAAAGGATTTTTCTCAGGAAATTGTGTGACTCCAATTGACGACTGATCTCAATTGAGGGTGTGGGGGTGAGGACTAGATGAGGCTGTTATTTTTACCATCAGACAGAGAGTCAAAATTGGATCTCTCAGAGCCTTTGATCCCCCTTTAGATTAGACTGTGATCCAGAAAGCAGCAGCTTTCAAGCTTTCATGAGGCTAGTCTTTTTCTGGTCTCTTTAGAACATGGCAGCTTACAAAGTGGTTCATGCTGTCTGCTTACTCCTTTGTGAAATTCAGATTATGGATACCAGACATATCATGCTTAATGAGTGGCAGTTGTTGCCAGAGGCCTGGGTGTTGACTGTTGCTTCCAGAGTAGGCATTTGCTATCAACATCTCCATGCAAACATCAGCAACAGGAGCTAGCAAGTACACCAGGAGGACATTTACCGTTATAAGTCCTGTGATTGTGCATCTCAGGGTGTGCAGGTTGTCCATGATGATTTCTCCAGCCAAAGGACAAAAGTCTTTAGATTTACTCCATTCCACTGGAGGGATGGGGCCGGAGGGAGGAGAGAATAAAATTCAGTCAAATGTCAAGAAGCACCATAGATACTCTAGCATATAACCCATCTCAAAGATGATTTTTGCAAGCCTCTTTCCTTATACCAGCACATCTAACAATCCTCCTTGGGATGTGAAGTCAGTTTCTAAGTTCACCATTATTTTTTAAAAGAGGAGCCAAAAAAGTAATGATTCAGAAGTCATTAATATGCCTTATGGGTTTTTTGAACCTTGATAGATATGTTATATTATGGTATATGTACATTTTTAATGTTGTTAATGTGAGATATAATCTGTATTAAATGCAGTTCTATTTCTTGATGACAGGGACATGTTCTGAGAGTTTGCATCATCAGACAATTTTATTCTTGTGTGAATATCACAAGAATGTACTTACACAAATTAAGTGAGTTGTGATGTCACTTTACTGGGTAACATGTATCTATTCCATCCTCGACTGAAATGTCCTTATAGGATGCATGATAATTATACAGTATTACTCACACAGCCATTGCTATATAAAGACACACTGTGTGTGTGTGTGTGTGTGTGTGTGTGTGTATGTGTGCATGTATGGATAGTTAGACTCACACTGAGGGATATAACAGTTCATTGTATGTATATGGAAGAAAAATCACTCAAGGTACCAGAAATGAAGGTTTACTTAGAACTACCTTCTGTTCTCTCTGAAGGTTTGGCTTCCACCTCATCATGTGACTGAAAATTCTCTTTCAAGATTCCAGTGACATTCTCATCCCACATAAAAAGGCTCTATTACTTCCTGACACCTTGATCCCTGGAAACACTCTTCTTGTAGTGTCTAATATACTGTCTCCTTCTCCTCCTTCCTGAAATCTTCCAAGCTTTATCATTGGCTTCTTTCAGCCTTAGAATGTGGGGTTTGTGCCTGACCTGTTCAGTGCCCTTCTGTTCTGACATTCTCAAGGTGGATGCTCATTCATGGTTAAGTTATCCAAGTTCTAATGCCCTATTTTACTGTGGGACCATGTTCTTTCATAACATTTTCCATTGGTTGTAAAACCATGGATAGGAGAGATGTATCATGCATCATGGGTAAAACATGTCTTAACTAACTGGTTACACATGCAGGATTTAAGTCAAGCTGCAATGAAGCAGGAGCTTAAGGAGCTGAAATCACAAGGAAAACCAGGCCTCTGTTTTTCTAAACTTCATGGTGACAAACTAGAGGTTGGGAGATTTAGGGTATATATGCTCTCTCTCTCTCTCTCTCTCTCTCTCTCTCTATATATATATATATATATATATATATGCTCTATAACACTTTCATACTTCAAAATCAACGCAAACCATCTCTAAATCCTGCTGTTGCTCTTGAGTCATTCATTCCTCTGCTTGGGAGCTTGCTGTCCCCGATTTCTCTGCTCCTCCTCCTTGTGTCCCTGGGGATCTGGCTTGTTTTCCTGACTGTCTTGAAATTGCTCTTTTTCTAGGGCATGAATACTCAGCACTGGCCCCTTTTTCAGACCTCTCGCCATCTTTGGCCTCTCCCTCCTTTTTGCAGCCCTCTTTGCCTTCTGTCTTGGTTCACCCTCTGCTTTTCCTACCTTTTGACCACCACTTTCTAGGTTCTTTCTGCTTCCTCTTCTTTTTTCCCTTTGATGTGATGTTCACTGGAGGTTTAGTTTTTTGGCTCTTTTTTTTCACTCCATGTACTTTGTCCCTGGTATTGACCTTATCTTTTATGGCTTCAACTGTGAGTCTTAGAGCTAGGTCTAGCCTCTCTTTTGAATTCTAACTGCCTCCTATAAATCTCCTCCTGAGTGTTTCTCACTCAATTCGAATGTTCCTGAAGTACCTTTCTCTGCCGAAGAGTGTTTTCTTAGTGTTAGCTAATTGCACTTCCAGATATCTAGTCACCCAACCAAAAATCTCAGTATCTTTGCTTCTTCTTTCCCCAATTCCATACAATCAGTTGATCACTAAACCCAGTAGTTTCCACTTCTAAAATGGCTCTTGTTATTTCTCCTTTTCATCTCTCACTGTGATACCCCTGGAATAGACTTTTATAATCATAAGCATAAACTTTGCAATAGCTTCCTAATTGATTTTTTCAGCTTATCTCCTCAGCTTTACATATAATCCTCTTACCAAAGCCTGAATTATAGTTTAAAATTCAGATCTAATTATTTTACTCCTTTATCTAAAATCTTTTTACACTGTCTAGTTGCTTTGAGAGTAAAATGAAGTTTTAATAAAGCTTTTAAGGAGCCTAATTTCTGGTCCCAAAATTACACTACTGTCCTCATCTCCTGCCATTTGCCAGAAGAAAATCTTTTTTCTGTAAGTCCCTGTTACCTGATTATTATTTTTTCTTACTTTTCTGGCTCTGAGTCTTTAGCTCATCCTTCAACTTTTGCTTAGTGAAACTCTAGTAATCCTTTAAGATCTAGCAAAGTCAACTCTAAATTCCTGAGGAATAATTAATTAAATACACCTGTTTTTGTTCGCACACAGTCCTTTACTCATATAAAAATAAGATTTATTACACTGTATTATGTTTTATGGTATGTGTCTTTTTCTTTTGTTAAATTGTGAGAAACTTGAGAATAGGAGGAATGTCATTCATTATTTCCTCTATGGTGCTGTACATGTATTTGATTGAATGTGTCTGTGTACACATAGGCTTGTGCACACACATATATGTATAACCCCAGACATGACTACATTTTTTCCTCCCAGTATTGTATATCTGTTTTATTGTATGTATATGTGTATACACACACACACAAACACACACACACACATACACTATCATACACTCAGAGACTATAGTCTTCTCTCTAGTGCTGTATATATATTTTATCTTACTGTGTGTGTATGTATGTACACATACACACATGTATAACCCTAGAATAGACTACAAGACTTTGTCTAACATGGAGATACTTTTTCCATGTGTATCTTCTAAAGTCTCCTACTTTTGAAGCTCTCAGGTATGGTATAAAATATAATTAGAATAAAATGATTAAAATTATATATTACCTATTAAATCAGGCCTACATCTCCTTACAGATACATATTCTAAAATGTAAACCCTAAATAAATCCTATACATGTATATTTAAAAATATATTTTGTTTTGCTTTGGAGCTATCAACTCTCTTAAACTGGGGACGATTTGTAATCAGAATAAGGTTCTACCTAATTCTAGCTAAAGAAAAAAAGGAACGATTGAGGGAGTTATTACAAATAAAACAAAAAGTAAAAGGTGAAGCAGACGCACAAGGGTATCTAGGAAGAGCAAATAATACAGGAAAATTCTAGAAGCACAAACATCCTTGGTTGCTATTGAGGCATACATGATCGATTGGTGTGGAGGAGGTCCAAGTGGAAGGTTTAGGGTAAAAGACTGTAGACTAAGAATTCGGGACGACTTCTTAAACTAAAGGACGAGTAAAGGGTTAGTGGCGATAATACCAAATGATTTGGGAAATGGTTAACGGGAAGTTGTTCAAAGATACAATGTTTACAGTTTCTAAATAAGCCACAATTCAGTTCTGAATAAAAACTGTTCTTGTTCTATTGAAATGTTTTTTTTAAAAATTAAATTCTTTTATTGGTACATTGTAGGTATACAACACACTTACATTTCTCATTGGGAATTGTACCTTTACATGATGTATCTTGGTTCTTATTTTTTCCCCATTCCTAGCCCTCCCTTCACACCCTCCACCCTTCCCTATTTACAAAGACTTTACTTCCATTTTTTCCATTTCTCATCATTTTTCCTTTCCCTTCTTTCCTTTCCTCTGCCCCTCCCACTACCCCTACCCCTTTGGACCTTTTCTTCCTATTTTGCATTATCGATTATTCATTCTAATCAGTGGTACATTTTAGGTATACAATATAATGACATTCATCATTGGAAATTTGCACCTTTACATAATCTCTCTTGGTTCTTATTTTTCACCCTTGCTCAGCCCTCCCTTCAACCCCTCCAGTCCTCCCTATTTACAAAGATTTTGTTCCTATTTTTCCATTTTCTCATATTAATCCCATTCCCTTCTATCCTTTCCCCTAGCCCTCCCACTTCCTTCCCCTTTGTCCCTTTTCTTCCTATTTCACATGACCTATTATACATTTAGTCCATATTTACACTTTCAGTTTCTCACACCAGAGAAACTATTCGGTATTTATATATGTGTGTCCTATTTATTTCACTTAAGAGTATCACCTCAGTGTGCATCCACTTAGCTATAAATGTCTCTAATTTCTCATTTTTTATGGCTGAGTAGTACTCCATTTTATAAAAAAACCACATTTTGTTTACCCAGTCTCCAGTTGATGGGCATTTGGGCTGTTTCCAAGTTTTAGCTATTACAAACTGTGTCTATTGAAATGTTTTACAATGTACATTTCAGGTGGAAAAGAGGATCTGATTTCCTGGAAAAATAGAAGTAGATTTGTTAGGAAAAATGGTTCTGCTTTGGGAGTTAATAGAGAATTTTAAACAATTAAGTCTAATTAGGTCTTATAACACATCTGAGTTTCAATGGGAAAAGGATCAATGAACAAATTATATTGGGGGGAAAAAATCTCCTGGTTGGAGTGGCCAATCTATTCTACTCTAATAACAGTCTTTCCGCTATATGTATTTCCAAGTTGGCGGACTTCTTTTAGCGGGAAGTCACACAGAAATGCAAGTGGCTCGTGGTCATTGAAAGAATGAGGAGAGACATGGAGTAAACAGGAGTCACTTTGAGAACACTGGGGATTTCTAAGAAAGCAACTCTGCATGTTCTTCCTGGAAAGTTGTTCATTGGTAAAGATTTGATATTAAAGGCCTGAGAAAATAATTTATAAACCTACTTTAAATCTCCAAAGGGTTAGGGAGGTATGTATGTGAACTTTAAAACTGTATAAGGCTTGGGCTGGGGATTTAGCTCAGTGGTTCCACTGCCTGTCTCACAAGTGTGAGGTCCTGAGTTCGATCCCCGGTACCA